AGACAAAGGTACCTGTGGCCTTGTACTGCACAGACACTGGTACCTGATGGTTCAAAAGAAGCAGCAGCACAGAGTGTCCTTTCCAGAATTACAACTTTAAAAGACTTCATTACTGTATCCAGAGTGCTCTCTTTATACCCAAGAGCCTCATAAAGGCTTTGGTCCCGATGCAATCCCACACCAAAGAACTCCACAAAAAAAAAAACTTGATGCATGAATTTTCTTTCAGCAATTTAACATGAACTACCTTTCAGTTTAGCTAAGAATGAGAACAGCGGAAGAGAAGTGTTGGATTCACCTTCTCTAGTTCATTCAAGATTTTGTATCCTGTGCTGTTCTCTTTTAAAATAAATACTCCAATGTTTTAATCTTATTTCACTCTCTACAGTCAGGAGTTTGATTAGGAAATGCACCAGCACTCTCTTGGCCCTAATTAAAGGGCATGTTATACAACAAATAGATGGCAATGCCACAACATGAATTCGATCCAGCCTGCATCATTTGTTCATAACTTCTGTTCACAGAAATGAGACTACTACTTTCCTTCCACACCTCTGTCAGGCTCCCCATGGAAATTACTCTCTTCCACTCTCTTACAGAGTGCAAAACATACAACTTTGCTAATGAAAAATTGCTAGCAGAAGCAATGGGCACATCTCAGCCAACTAATCCATGGGATGTTCAGATCTGGAAACATAAACTTTCCTACCTAATAAGGGTGTGCTGATCTCCATCAGATTGATGCCAGGATGCCTTGGAGTGCAATCAATACAAAACAAATAAATAATTAATTGCTCCAAGTAATTAAGTTTATCAAATCCAAATAAAAATAACTGATATTTTATGGAGCTGCTTCCAAAGCTGAACCTCTGAAGGGACAGTATTGATCACAGGAGGACAGACAGATGTTTCACACGGTCAGAGCCGATGAGGTCTGGGTTTGCATTAATGACAGGGAAGGAACAGAGCCAACAGCCTCCAATGCAGAGTAAACAGTCAGCGTGCTTGGCCATTTAATTGTGGGTCAGATCAAATATGGAGAATAAACATGTCTAAACACATACATACAACCCCATCTTCCTCTAGAAATATCATTCACCTTGGTGCTGCAGTAAGCACTCAGTTCCCATTCCAAGAAAGAAAAACATAGAAGAGAACTCACATGCATTCCCCCAACAACCACAGTAAATTCTTACTCATAAATCAGTGCTAAAAAATGCTCAGCAGGCTAGTAAATATTTAAAAGCTGGTGAGTGTGAATATTTGAATCAATGGGTACTAAAGCTGTACTTGTAATTTTCCTTCCTCTACTTTTTTAATTGGACTGACTGGCAAACTGTCTACAAGATCCCAATTAGCTGATGGAATCAGGCTGCTGGCTTTTTTGAGGGGAGGTGGCCAGCTTGGAATGACAGAACTGGAGCATCCCTCAGTCCTTTCTGCAGACTGGGAGCTCTACAAACTCCTGTTCACCCTGGAGTTTTGTTTTGTTTCCAGATGAGACATCACTCAATCGATTCTCTTCCATTCTTTTGTTTCCAAATCCATGACAAGAGAGCAAGGACACAGACATACACCTCAACATGCAGGAGTGGAGACAAACATCCACCCTTTTCCATCCATCATCTTCTTAAAAGCACTGCTGCAGCAATCAACAGCTTTAACAGAATCATAACTTAAAATTTCCACATAAGACAGAGAGAAGATGAACAACTTAAAATACATGGATGTTAAGTATGCCAAAGCCAACACAATGAAGTCAAAGACAAAGGTTAAACTTAAAAGAAAGCTGAACATAGCAAGGTACAGAAACACTGTGGTGAATTCAAAACAAACTCAGTTCTGCTCTACAAAAGCAACACCATGCCTAGATCACAAACATGTGGTTATTGTTGGTTTGTCTGGGTCCTGGAAAAGATTCAAGTTCAACAGCTCCCATTTTCCTTTCCTTCAGGCAGATGCTCAGCAAAGCTTTCCTTCCTCATAGCTCTCTGCTTTCCCTTTAGTTTCTTCCTCTCCTTTCCCTGTACAAATTCCCTACCCATCTCTCATTTCCTCTGGCTTTTTGGCTGTGTGCCCTCCCAGCTGAGCAGATCCGGTATAACAGGAAGTTTTCCAGAAGTAATGTTTAGGATTAACAATACATTTCTGCTGTTACTTTCATAAGTTTTACTAACAGCAAAGGCAAAGGTCTAAAATTCCTTTTGAAGAAACTCATGAAAGGCTTACCCCCTTCCTAAACATCTACTACTGTCTCCTGCTCTCCGTAGCACCAAGACAATGCACTGTCTTGAATTAAGACAGAGCTTTCCATAATGCCCAGCTTCTTACTGCCTTAAAGAAACTTGCAGTCTGTGCTGTCAGGAGGCAGAGGGGAAATCCCATGCAGAGCAAGGGCACAGGGGCTGTGGCCTTCTTTGGCTGTGGCCACAGTCCCATGGAGAACAATGGGAGACTGAAACCATTGTGATAGAAGGCAGCTTGTCAAACTGAACTCACTGGAGATTACTCTTCAGCATCTGCTGAAGGAGAAACTTTCAGTTATGGAGAATAATAGCCCTAAATGGCCATTAATCCTGGAGGGCGGAGGGAAAGATCTTCAAATTCAGACTATGCATAAGATTTTGTAAGCTTTAACAACAGGGAGAATTTGAAAAGCCTGTGCTATTGTCATAAAAACTACTAGGAACAAATCAAGTTGAATACAGAATGCAGTTGAATACAGTCCTTTTCTTCAAGGACTCATTTCTACAAATTAATTTTAACTCAAGTTTTCAGCCTAATTGTAAATCCTTCAGGGGAAAAAATCTCTAATCAAAGAGTTAAGTGCTATTATCCTGGGGATAATATGGTACATTTTTCACACATGACAAGAGGTTGAGTCCCTGATCTCGGTGCAAAATCCAACTTTGCCTAACTAAGAAGGCGTAAAGCACAGTAGTAAAGTACAAAATAAAAGAGGACAATAGAAGGGTGAGGACCCTTTAGGTCCTCAGGCAAAAGAACTTACTGCAGGGTGTCACAAGCCTTTAGAAATCATTTTCCAATGTGCTCAGGGCAAAACATGCTAGATGTTGCCAGAGTACAAGTTTCCAGAACAGTATTCCAATCCCTTGCTTAGTCCTAATCAGCTCCTGCCCTTATCAATTCCATACCACTGGTGTGTAGAGGGTTTGACATATAAATCCACCAGCAAAATAATTTGGATTAGCATGGATTGCCAGCTGTACCACTTAGCACTTCAGCACCTCTTACCAATTCAAAAGGCCCATACTGACCTCATATGACTAATTCCCCACCCCCCCCACCCCCCCACCCCCCATCACCCACATGTGAAGAAAGTGAGTCTATTAGCTCCTGTTTTAAGAACAGGGAAGACTTGAATAAGGAAGCCAGGTGACTGGCTAAAAGCAATAAATGAATTCATTTGCTGGGCTGGAGGCAGGTTTCACATTTCCAAGCAACAAAGTGTTGTTTTTTTTCACCTGGATCAGTGATTTGCAATCTTTTTCAATTCGCAAAACACTGGTACTTCTAATAACAGCATTTATATCCTTAAAAATTTCAAGCAGAGCATAGAAAGTTGCTCTAGGTTATCCCAGGAGTTTAGGTACCACAGCCTGAAAGTTGCTGAATCAGGATGCCATGCCTCAGCTTATCACTGCATTTTGCGGGCATTGAAGAGAACAGGGAGTAGCATGCAACACCCATTTTCACAAATGGCTGGGATGTGAATTGCCCATTTGGCAAACGAAAAGGCTGCTGGCTCTGCCAGATGGTTCCATCACTGATAGGTTCTCTCACTGCTCTCAGCTTCTCTTCCAGAGGGGGTAAAAATACCAGAAAAGATCAACCACTACTTATCAGTTTTCAAAATCCCAAATCAATCTCTATAAATTATTCTATTTATCTTAGTGCAGGAGAATGTATTTGCCATGTCTCCATAAATCTCAACACATGCACTACAGTCTTTCATGTCACTTGCCTCTGACTTCCTCAAGGCTGTAGCCCTTCACTCAAACAGGTAGCCTGCAGATGGTGGCGCCTGTACACTAAGGGGGTCCCCCAGGAGGGACCTTGGCTGAGGCACATCTCTTCTAATGTACGCATGCACCCATAAGGTGAAGCAGCATGATCCCAAACACATTCCTAATAACAGCCCCAGGGCGTTCCCAGCAAGACCTGAAACTATTCTGACATCAAAAGTACACCCCATAAAACAGTCTTTAAAAGCGACCTAGAAAATTACTATGCCAACTGAGTGTGCTGGGCAAGGAACCTACTTCTCCACCTTTGCTACAATAAAGCAACTAAGGATTATTTTATTTGGCTAGGGAAATTAAAAAATAGTAAAAATAAACACCTGTCCTGGGCAAACAGGATTTGGTTATCAAAACCCCTCTAAAAACATCCAGCCAGCCAGGCAGGTTTAACATACTCAGTATCCCAAACCCGGTCGCTAAGAGACAGGCATCTACATTTATCTTACTGATGAAACAACAAGAAAGTTATTTCCCAGGGATATCTGTGCAGCAGAATGAGCAAAGGGGCTTTTTCCCGAAATATTTTCTGAAGATAATGGAAACAGGAAGCCAAAAATTGTGTTCATGTGTCTCCTTTTTTTCCAGACACAACCTGAACATCCAGTTCTTAAAAGCACCTCTCGCCTATTAAGACATGTGCTCTATGAGGCTTATTACATTTAGCTATGAGCTCTGCTGGACTAGACAGCTCCATTTGGGTCTGTCACATGTCTAACCACAGAGCAGGAACACCAGTAACAAACACCAGCAAGCTCAGGTGCCCCTTCAAGGCAATGAGCTGGCTTCAACACAGCCTGCATTCCAGGTTTCTGAGACTCCAAATTTATGGAATTCCTTTCTTATTTTAGAGGCAAGAACTTGACTTTCTATAGCTATAAAAGGAGAACAGATGAGGAGACAGACAGGCAAACTGAAAAACATTAACCAAGGTCCCAAGGGACCAGGAAAACAGCCTACCCTCTGGCTTCGTAGTGTGACACCTGCAGATTTGAAGTCAGGAAACTTGATGCCAGCAGTCTCAGGAACAGCCTGAAAGAGATGGAAACAGGATGTCTTGATGGAGGAAACACAAGATTTCATATAGACTATCTGAAGGGGAAACATTGTTTCCTATGACAGAGAAGCACCTGCCATGGCCACATGTCGGAGCTGAGGCAAGAGGAAAATCCCAAGCAATGGGATTCAGTGGGAAAATCCCAAGGAATTCACTGAGAAAAAATACTCCAAGGTATCTTTGGAAAGCTCAAGCATTTTTATTGGGCTGGTTTAAAGGCACTGCTCTACACAGACCTCAAACCCATCCCCACAAGCATAAACCGTAAATGCTACTAACTCATGCAGGACTGAACCCAGGACACATCCTTACCTAACTCAGGCCCATGTCACTGATCAAAACAGCTCAGGACTTCCCCAGATCATGCCTTTTGACTGAAAGTCCTCTAAGGTACGAGCTGAGAAACCTCTGATCTGTACAGACATGAGCCCACTAATGAGGATGTAAGGACTGCACCTCTCCAGGGAGGCCTGCAGTTCATACACCTTTTACCATTTGTCCACTCGTTAGACAGTTTTCTTTCTTCGCCACTAAACATTTATGCATAGCAGTACAAGGCAGCAAACTTCTAATGCTGCTGCCGCTAGACAGTAGAGCATTTAGTTGCATTTCAACAAAACAGAGAAAAACATAAACCAAATTCCTTAAAAATCTGTGCTGCTGAGCAAAGCACAAGGTGAACAAACTTCTAAATGATTAGAGCAGTCTGTCTGCAGGGGCCTGTCCACTGAATGGTGTGGGGTCCCCTGAATGGGTCAGCAATACTCATGATTCAATCTAAGAATACCCCCAGTCTTTGCAAAACGTATGTTCAATCACACTCTTCCAAAAGGAAGAGTCACCTCAAATCTCACAATTTCTTTGGAGACAGTGCTTGCCTTGCTGCTCCCACATTTCTCTGCAGAGAGGCTCTTTGTTCATTACAGACAGCACTGAGACAACCAGGGCTGCCCCAAGATCACAAGAGATGCTGAAGGACAGTGACTCAATTCCTCAAGTTCCCTGCCAATTACTCTCACATCTCTATCAGCTATCTCTGTGTCTTGGTCTTGAGGTGGCACTTTGCAAAGTGCTTTGCGTGGCCAGGCATTAAGGATCTTCTTCAGTTATCTGTGGTCAGTCCAATAAACAGAAGCTTCAGGAAGAGCCTCCTAGACACGACCAAGGTGGAAAAAGTATTCCATAACTACCAGTAGGGTTCATGAATTTGTAGGGATCACTTTGATCTTTGGTAGGATTGTAGCCTCCCTGCTTGGATTATTAGACGCAAAGGCAGCTGCAATCAAAAATCAATCCTTTCTGCTTCCTTTGGATGAAGGCTGGCTTTCAGACTCCCCGAACTCTGCCCCCCCAGCCTGTTGCTGAACACCCTGACACAAGCAGTGAGGGTAAATCAGCGTTGTTGGCTTAGCCAAGATGTCTCTGACTGCACTCAGCGCATAAGCAATTAAATGGGTTCCTTTGCCTTGCGTGCCTGTACATGCTGTAAACGCTTCAACCTCAATTGACTCTTTGGTAAATGATTTTCCTTTGTTGAAATGATGCTGATGCAGCTCCCGATTCAAATTCTTAGTTAAAATGCAATTTTTTTCCTAACATTTCCCAGCTATAGTTGGTAATTGACTCCTAATGGACTCTGTCATGGTTGAAATGATGCTAGTGCAACAACAGAAACTGCTTCTCTGCCCACCCTGGCGTTTCTATCCACTATATGCCTGCAGACAGGCACCAGCCAGCATTTAGGGCTGGACTCCCTCACCCTAGCATCCTCAGCATCTTTCCAGCCCCATTCTCCATCACCACCCTTTCTTCATTACCACCACCAATACGCTGCTTTCTTCAGAGGGGTATACACCAGCCACGGTTGAGCTTTACCTTATCAACCCTCAAGGGAATTCAATGCGCAAGGTGCTCAGTGATATTACATTAACTACACTTAGGGGCAGGGGGAACCAAAACAATGCTTTGAGGAAGTGGTGTCCATTAGGAACCCTTCATCAAACAATAACTGTCTCGTATTCTCTGCTTCCCTCCCCACTATGCACAGACCCTTTTGGAGGACAATGACACAAGTGCTCTCTGTTCACAGTATGGAGGGACAGGAATTCCCATGGACCCATTGGAAATATCTGAGATTTTTTAACAGCCCTTTTCTACTGAAGGGCTGAATTTGTTCAGTCCATACTGTCCTCTCTCCAGAAAAGGAAACTGAGGTTAACATCAATTGTGAATTAAAAGCTATGTTCTGGGCTCCTTAGACTTTAGGTCAGCTGAAGGAGAAATAAGAAGCAATAACTACCAAAATACAACAGTCCCAAAGCAGGGCTGCTCTGATCAAAGCTGAGGATCAGGAGAGAGGCATGTGGTGAGCTTGGGAGACACTGCTGAGACCCAGAAGTGGGAAAGGGAAACACGGACTACAAAAAGAACGCAGGTGAAAGACAATGGGTTGATGGGATAACCCTGCACAGCAGTACCAGAATACACTTGGGAGAAGGAGGGAGACAGATATTTCTCCCTGCCATGAGGCATGAATGGCTGGAAATATTTCATCCCATTTTTCAGAGAGGGAAGGGGAAACAGGATTTAAACCAGCATTTTTCAAATGGGAGAGAGACAAGAGTACACACCAGAGGACTCTGACAATGGCTGCCTTAGACCAATCTGCCTTCAAAAGACATAACAAAAAAAGCATCTGCCAGAAGGCAGCCAGCAGCTACTCCCCCTAAAAGAGCTGAGGGCTTGATCCCAGTAGGGCTGCTGAAGGAAAACGTTGCCCAGCCAAAGCATAAGCAGGGAAAAGGGGAAAAGAGGAAAAAAAAAAAAAGAAAAAGAAAAGAAAAAAAAAAGAAAAAAGGAGAAATGTTTACAGGCTTTTCTGTCTCCTTCTTCTGTGGCAGCTTCTTCTTGGGAGCCTTACGCTCGGCTCGCCTCTGCTCAGTGGTGGTGTCAGCAGCTGTGATGAGCTTCTGGAGGTCTTGAGTTCTCTTCTCCCTCTCTTTCTTCCTGGTTTCGATTTTGCGGAGCTCCTGGATGAGGTATTCTTCTTCTGCCACCTGCAGACCAGAGCACGTAAACGCAATCAGAGCAGCAGAGGAGGCCCAGCAAGGTAAGGGGGCCATCTACCGATAACAGCTCAGCTCTGGGCCAGCCTGGGAATTACAATGTTCCCCTGCCTAATGTCTTGGATTTGCAGAGCACATAATGCTCCATAGCCCTCCCCTGCGTCCATGGTAGTATCATGCTACAAACTGGCAGGTACTGTATGACAACATCCAGGATGTATACTTCAGCAGCATCCAGAAATGATTACTCTCATCTCCAGACAAAGAGACCAAGAGCACAGATAGAAGGGTAAAAATGCTCAAATACACTGTAGTTGCAAATGGATTGTTGTGAAAAGCTGGCTCCCCTTCCCAGACCTAGCATGTAGAACCTAGAGCAGCTATGCCTAATATCAGCACACCTATCAACATGGGAAGGACTTCAGAGTTGTCACACATACGCAGTTCTCATTAAGACAGACGTACTAACAGAAAGAGATGCTCTCCCCCAGCCTTTGAGGAACACACAGTTCCTTAACTTCTAATGGGACCATTACACGGCTTCAACAAACAGGAGAACTAAACATGTAGATTTACAACCTCTGATGCTTTCTGGTAAGATTTTTACTCTCAACGGAAGTAATCCTCCTCCCATGGGACTCAGGGATTCAAAAGGACATTGATCTGCAAACTTAATTCTATTCAGAGAACTAATAACAGTGTTACAGAGAAGATGCTGGCAGTTACCAGAGACCATAACCCTCATCCTCACCATAACCCTCTCCCCTGTATAGTCAGATCTCTCAGTTACTGTCTTTTTGCATCCCATAAAATTACGCAAACCCAACAACAAAGTTGTTCCTTTCTTGTCCATTCTTTCCCTTTCCCACACTACTTCATCTACCTACTGATTCAACTTAACATAAGTTTCTTGAGCAGTGATGCTCTCCTTCCCAAGTTACCTGCTCTGGTGTCCTATTGTACAGCCTTTCCAGTTGTTCTTTCCTTCGCCTCTCATGGCCAGCATCAAAGACTGGGATTTTCAGGTCTGTGCCTGGAGCCGCACGAATATTAGCCAGCTTGGCACAGATGTGATAGTATCGTTCCTTCAGGTCCTCCACTGATCTTTTCTGTGGAAGACATCACAGGACAATATTATGGAAGAACCAAGCAAAGCCTTGTGCAGTAGCCAGCTGAGGACCCCTGGCTGAAGGACATCAGGTAGGGTAAAGATAGTGCCTGGAAGGAAGACCAGCAGGGAGCCTGGCCAGTCCCAGTGGAACAACCACATGGAAGGGGAGAGTTTCTCAGTCCTCTGAACTGCTCCAGACAATGGCCATTCAAGCCATAACCAAGGAGGTACCAGCTGCCACAACTCTTTGCCCATTGATACATGGAATCTAAGCTGTGTTCCCTCACTCCAAGCACCAAAGGTGTTTGGGCTGCTCAGCTGGGCAAACTCTTGTTATTTGACTTTGCTATGGCTCCCCACATGAGCATTTCAGAGGGCACCAAAAAGTTCAAGCATTTGGAGCTGTTCCATAGGAGTCACATCATTCCCTCCTGTCACCAGGAGACATGGAACCAGCAACTGCAGGAGATTTAAGACCATGAAACCAGTGCTGCATCTTCAGACCACTGATGGTCCCTGCTTCACAGGAGAGATGACAGAAACATGCACCAGGCCAGGAGCAGCACCAAGGAAATATCACAATCCCTGGGGACCACTAGCAGATCCTTCTCCCAGGACTTAGCCTGCAATCTAGGACACCTATCCTGCTCAGCTAAACAATCTCCAGAGCTGCCTCACCTTCGAGGAATAATGAGTTATTCTCCTGGCAGGGCAAACCTTCTAACTTTCTAATAAAACACAACAGGGAATGAGCACAAGTCACAGTGGATTTAATTACAAACAAAGCAAGCAGCAATGCCCTGTGCTGGAAATTCAATATTCCCTGCTGCCAATAATTCATTATTTCTCCCTAATTAAGTTGATATAAAGGGTAATTTGGTCTTTGCAGTGCAGCAAGCCCTCCACGTGCCATCGCAGCAGGTTGCTAGCAGCACCTTGGCCCCAGGGACTCACCTTGAACTGCTGGTGATCGTAGCGGTCGTGAATCACTACGAAGCGCAGATCGAAACGCCGAGCCAGGTCAAAGAGGTGGTCTGTCTCAGCTTTGGTCCACGCATCATCATGGAGATACATCTGGTATTCCTGCTCTGAGTAGACAGGTACCTGCACTGCCTATGCAGAGAAAATTAAAAGATGGTAGCTCTCTTGCAGCTCTTTTCACTGCCAGCTGGTAAGGGCCGAGATACTTGAGCCAAGAACAAGAGGACGGCATTGACAGGACAGGGCTGCCAGGACCCCGAGCAATGGGTCCTGGTAGGAAACATGACAAGCAGGCAGAGGACTTGATAAGGAGCAATGTGTGATCTCAGGGCCACAAACAACATTCTGGAAAGCCTATCAGGAACTACTGCCTGGGAGGCTGAAACCTATTTCAGGTGGCTGACACAGGCAGAGGGCAGCAACCCACATCCTGACTATAGGTTTCAAACTTACCAGGCTAACATGACAGTGAACCAAAGGTTCAGCCAGCCTCTCTGCATTCCTCCCATATAGCAGCACCAACACCTTAACATAAACTGCTTTGACAGCCAACTTTACTTGGTCTGGGACATGCTTACTTATACAGGAAGAACAGGAAAGGCAAGGAGCAGTAGTTCCTAGCCTTTAGAACACCTTCTGCTTTGATACACAACCCATTTCTTTCATGTTTGGTGCAGACAGCGCCACGAAGATCTGAAAGGCTGGGTACTGTACAACTGAGGGCCATAAACTTGGCAAACAACTTTGTCCCTCCTTTCTTCATCTACCCTTTCTCCAGCAGAACCACAGGGCCAAAAGACAGTTCAGCTCTCACGAATGTCCCAGGTGTCTAAAAGGCCAAACCCACACCACTGTCCCAACCCTGGAATTGCTTTGCAAGGACCCTATCCAGAACACAGGAGTCACGAGTACTAAAGCCACAATAAAAATACTTACTGTATATGGGGAAGTCCTAGCACATGGTAAAGCAAAAGTACCACCAAGCCTCTGCTTTCCTCCCTTTCACCCTCCCACCATCCTGCAGAGGAACTGTGCTCAGCCTGAGGAGGTCCTGCTTCCACCAGAAAACACTGCGAATGTGAGCAGCATACGTGTCAACAACACTATGCTCCCTGAGTCCTACACCAGAAAAGTCCTCCTCATGAACGCCATACAGCTCAGAGGAGAATTTCTGAGCCTCTTTAGGTCTCCTGCCTTTCTTCCATCACTTAGACACAGAAACTTAGATGTGAAGCATATCTCTTGGGGAGGCACTGCACCTCAACCTTCCAGTACCACTTCGACCAGGAGAAAAGCCCCCACTAGACACCATAAGGATGTCCTATGTACATCATGAAAAACAGAATTATTTTCTAGAGTAGCATACACACATGAAAAGAGCTATCAGGGAAGGTGGCAGGTGCCTGATCAGAGGAGAGAATGGGACAAGAGCAGACAGACACTTCCAAAACACTTCCTCAGCCCCAGTCATGAGAACTGAGAACGTAGGAAATCATCAGATGGAAAGTTTGAGACAAACATGAGATGACTGCAAGTTCAAATGCAACGTAGCCATGAAAATGCAAGTATGATCCCCGGAAAGGGATTTCCAGCAGAAGCTGGCAAGGTTTCACTTGCACAAGACCTTGGTAGGAATGCCAACCACAACTCTACCGACCCCTTTTTGGAAAAGATGAACTGAAATGGGAACAAGTATCCATTTCAGGGCACCAAGGATGAGTAATGGGGTGGGGAGCTTGTCTTCCAACAGCAGACTGGAAGAGAAAGGAGCCTGGCAAAGGAAGCCTGAAAGGGAATCTGACTGCAGGCTTCAAGTATGCTAGAGGGAATGAAAGGAATACCCACAGGAAGAAAAGAACAACTGAAACAAGGACAAAGAAATTGGTTTGCAAGGAAATGCCAATTTAACATGGAAAATTTAACCTAGAAATAAGAAACGGAGCACAGACAGTCTGGAACAGCTTCCCAAGGCAGCAGAGGGGCAAGAAAATCCAAGTGCTTTTCAAAAGTAACTTGATCAGTTTATGAAAGCGAATGGATGGTGCCGGACCTGAAAGAGCCAAGAGGAAGATTCAATGGTTCAGAAAACCCTTCTCAGTCCTGTATTTCACACTATAAACTCAAACAATGATGGGCATTAAATTAGCTGAAACTGCTCAGGGAAAATCCTGGAGCCATGAGACGGTTCTGAGAAAGCATTAGCACAATGCCTTGCAGTGCTGAAAAGACAAACTGAATAGTAAAAATGATCAGAGAAACAAAGAGAAACACAGCCAATGTACAAACCCACTATGCTGCCCTAAGTGAAACACTCACTCCTAGTCCACCCGTTTCAAAAGAAAGGGTATTTGAGAACAGGGTGAGACAGGGCACAGAAGGGCAGATGTATGTCACATTACAAAGAAAACAGTGCACAGCAAGGACAATTTATTACGTCATGTAACACAAGATCTCAGAGGCACCAAATGAAACCTCAAGGCAGCAGTTTAAAATGAACAGAAGCAATACCTCTGCACACCATGCAAAGTTAACCTGAAGAATTTGTTATCACGGGGTATTCACAGAGCAGCTTTCTGCCCAGAACCTAGCAAGAATTATTGAACACAAATTCCAAGTTAAGAAATCCTTAAACCAATGACCACCAGAAGCTAGGAAAAAATGCTCTGTATTTTCCCCATTCTCATCCTCTTTAAGTCTTTACTAATGGTAGCTAGAAACAGAATATCAGCCGAGACAGGCCTTTGCTCTGGCACCAATGAAGCTGCTTTTATATTCCTATTTCACACCCTTGATCAAAGCTTAGTGTACACTGTGAAACATAAGTTTACATTTTGGATCTCACAATGAACAGAAGGGATTTGGTTTGGAGACTGGAAGCACAGAGAAAAGGCAAAGGAACTGAGTTTGAGGGACCAGTAGGACAGACTACACGGGAAAATGGATTATGCGAAGAGGAGTAAGAAATTTGGGCAGAAGTATCAAGTATGTGAGAAGGAACCCACAGAAGAGTTTAGAAAAGTAAATAAAATTCCTCTGACATCGCAAATATCTGCAAAACTTCTCATCAGTGCCTTCTACCCTCTTAACCACGGATCCACAAGGGTAACAACTTGCTCCTAATATTATGTGATTGGGCACGTGCAGATGGCAGAGGTCTACCACTAATCTAAAGGTTGCAGCCTTGCTGAAGGCTCTTCTGCCTGTCAATTCACAGTACACGATAAAGTTAAGGAAACAAGAATCATATAATTACAACCCATGTGTGGCTCCCTTTGATAAACTTAGTTGAACTCAGCCAAAAGCAGTTAACAGCAGTAGAGTCTTAGAGACAATTACACCCCCGAAGTTTTCCTCAGAAAGCCAGGCAGGTGCCTTGACTGAGTCATGCTTCAGACTTCTACCATAGACACCCTAGAGAAGAGATATGACACAAGGCTCTTACCAACATCCCAGCAAGAGGAAAAGCATTGGTCAGACCTTAAGCCTTCTAACACACAAGGTTAATCAACCACTTAACTCTGCAGGAAGCCAGGCTTTGACAGAACTGATGCTCTGTGGGTTACAAACTTTAAATGTTGCATAGGCAAGTAGAGCTTTTGTGGAAATCATGTTAGCACACACTTTTTTTTTCCCCCTTCAGATTTGCATCATGAAGGGAATTAAATTATGTTAGGAAGGCACCCTAACTCTGCTCCTTCCTAACTTTGGAGGCCCTGACTTTGAAGTATAAATGCTGATGTAGTTTTCTTTGTGCATACACATGAAAGCCCCAGCCACTCAAAGCAGATACATCTGGGACAAAAGACACCAGGAGATTACAACAACACATTGTGACAATTTAATATAAGACGCAAAGAACAAGGTACTGCACCACACTGATACCACAAGAGCAATTTCAGAGGGAGCACAACGTAATTCAGTATCTGCGCTGGAATCTGGCCAAGAGGCTGCAAACCAGCTTTTCTGCCACAAAGCTCTAGCGATTTTTTTCACACTGGGCAAAATAACAAGACTTATGACTTTAATGTCTGTCTCCGAATAGAGTATCTTTTACCACCCGGAGCCTGTAATCAGGGGAAGGATGTTGGTTAGGAACGGAATGAGATGGCAGAGTGCCTCCTTACCAAATCAATAACAAGATTTGATAAGGAGCACCTGAAACACAGGAGACTCTAGCAAGCTCTGACCACATACCGATCCCACATAGTTTGAATGATTTGGAGACATCATAGTCTGTGGTCACGTGGCTGTAAGGCCATTCTGCAATTTAAAATGCAATTGCCAAATGTAACAGCCTCCACTTGTTCAAAGGACCAACTTCCTGTCTGGATGCTCAAGCAGCTGACAAAAGGGTATTTTCCAGCTGCTATTTATATGCTTTTGCTCGAAAGTGCTCCCACTTACTTTATTGAACCTGGCAAAAGGGTAGTCCTTTCCTTCCTCTGCTGCTCTCCTCCAGTGGTAGAACATTGCTCCATCTTTTCTTGCTGGGTTGGTGAAAGGCATCCACTTCCAAGGCCGGACTTTCTTGGATCCCAGTTTTGCTTTGACTGTTCGATAACCCTGAGTTGTATCACTTGGCAGCAGCGGAGGTGCATCCCTGTGGTGGAGAAAAGCACTGGGTGATAAAAGCAAACAGCAGCCAACGACAAACCCAAAGAGATTTCAGACTCAGTGGGATCTGCCACCAAAATGTTTAGGGTGGGAAAACCTGAGATTAAGCTTTATTCAGGTTCTGCACCTCCCAGACTGCAATGCCTCCAGCATCAGAGGACAGAATACACTGCCTAGATGGATTTGGACAGAGCCATCAAACTATGCAAGAGACCTCTAAGGCAAGAGTTCAATCATACAAGCTAAATATAGGCTGCAGCGGAACTCCTTCTGCAGAAATAAAAGCAGGTGCTATTCCCAGTTGCAAATAAAGAGAATTAGACACAGAAGGGTAAGAATACTGCCTTGTCTGCTCCAAACTATTGTGCCTTTGCCCAATTCATCTCCTAGACAGAGCAAACCCCTCAGACTTAGAAGAGAGAAGATAGGCACTGCTCATGACCAAGAGAGAAGGGCACAAGCATGGGCCAAGCACAAAGGTGAATCAATGTGGGAAGCAAGCCTGCCCATGGTTTCAATAGGATGCTGCCCTGCTTCCAAAAGCCCAGGCTACACCACAACCTACCCAGATGACCATAAGCTCTTACTTTTTGTCAGAGTAGAGGAGTGCATAAACTTCTCTGTGCATTCCTTCCGGCCTCTTAAACGTCAATGTCTCTGAAGATTTCTTGGATTTTTTCTGAAACAAAAGAATTGCATTTTAGATTCAGAAGCAGCAGTGCCTGAAGGAACATTAAACTACATAACCTGGTACCCTGCGATGGTTTTCATTTTTATGTGGTTTTAGACACCTTGAATTTCTTTCTGGTGGAAGACACTGACAGTGAAAACATGCCCATTTTCAGTGACAGCACTCACCAGTACTCAGACACTTGTTGCTGACAACACACACTTAAATTCCAAGTTGAACACCTGTCTGTAGTTTTCAGGGCTGGTATACTGAGCTTTTTTTTACTAGGTAAGCACTCTCCTCACATGAAAGTTTTAATGCATTGTCGTGGTTTAACCCCAGCTGGCAAATAAGTACCACACAGCCGCTCACTCGCTCCCACAGACACAGTGGGATGGGGAGAAGAATCAAGAAAAAAAGTAAAACCCGTGGGTAGAAATAAGAACAGATTAATAATCAAAGTATAACAGAATACTAGTAACAGTAATGAAAAGGAAAATATGAGAAAGAGAGAGAGAAAGAGAGAGTAAAAAAAACTAAAGCCAAAACCGAACAGTGATGCACAATATGATTTCTCACCACCTGCTGACTTATGTCCAGCCCACTCACAAGCAGTGAACAGCCCCTCCTGGCCAACTGCCCCCATTTCCTGTACTGAGCATGATGTTCTGGAGTACGGAATACCCCTCTGGCTAGTTTGGGTCAGGTGTCCTGTCTCTGCTCCCTTCCAGCTCCTTGTGCCCCTCCTCAGTGGGGAGCACAAGAAACTGAAAAGTCCTTAACTTAGGGTAAGCATTACATAGTAACTAAAACACTGGTGTATTATCAACATTATTCTCAGACTAAAGCCAAAACACAGCTACTAGGAAGAAATACATTTAACTAAGTAATGATGAAAATAAGAAATGAATGTAAGTAAAGATGAAAATAAGAAATGTCTTCCCACCTTCTTTTAGTGTTTTGGTCACTTTGTTCTGCAGCAACTCCAGTTTTGCCAGCTGAGACCAAACCCTTGCAGTAGCACCATGTCAAAACTACCAGTACCACCTAGAAAAATAAACCCTCATCCCCACCTTTACACTCCCATTTATACAGCAAAGAACTATATTCATTTTTATATAATTCCTAGTATGAAGAAACTCAGTGTTGAAAACTCAATCTGGCCCCTTGTCAGAACTAATGGTTTCTAAGACATAGTCCACCTGATATCACATATAGAAGTTTATAAAGTAATTTGGTTTAGATTCAGGTAGATACAGTAGCAGTCACATTAACAACGTACACTTGATACACATGGACGAATTTACTGAGTAGTCCAGAGCATCTGGTCTAACTGTACCATCTTTGTAACTACTAGCCACATCATTACTTTAAAATACCTGTTTATCACATTACTACCAACTTTTAAATCACAATACTTTGTAATAGCAAAACCAACACTCTATCATAAATAGTATTAAATCCATACATTCACCTTTATCAGGCAAATTCAAAATCCCAATAAAAAATAATAACCTATCAACTTGGACTACAACCCTTTCCATAAAATATCATGACAGACATTTACTGTATTGGCACCTTTTCACTCCTAATCAAACACCTTTCTCCCAGCATGTCCATCACTGCCCAGGAGCGATGTAAGGCCAACCGAGGCAGTTACACATGGGTCATCACACACCCTGTTTGAACACAGGCTTCTGGAACTCCCCCAAAGTTCCCAGATTTATTAGAAGTTAATATCAGCAGGCCAGAGATCAGCTCAGACAGCTCTTTTAGGAGCTGAGAACAAATTACTTGGTCCTGCCTGATTTAAATGTTTTTATGCCCAGTAATTTTTATTTTAACATTCTCAGTCACTAATGGACTGGGAAGTACTTCATGGTTCTCTTGTGATTTAAAGACGTCAATCTGTTTCTTTTCTAATTGAGTACAGATTTATTTCCTGAGCAAGTGCTGCACTGTTAATAGCAATTTTGCTCTCTCCGCACAATAACGACTTATACCTTTGGTTTGATTTAATTTCTGTGCTGAAATTCAGAACGTTTCACCCACAGCCACAAGTGGCCTCCTGCACTCCTCCAGAAGCCTCTCACTGCACCTCTCCTTCCATTACAGTAAATCTGTGGAGAAGTCCCTCTTACTCTCTGCTCCAAAAGAGAGACAGGCAGCCATCAGTACTCCTCCAGGTCTCTGCTAGCTAACAGATAAACACATCTAAATCAAAGAACTTACAACTCTGAACACTCACTGGCACAACATCACAGGCTGAATCCAGCCACACACTGGACACACTATTCACCAATTCAGCTGATAACTGGTGATTTTAACATTTCAGCCTCTAAATTACTGAAACTCATCAGTTTTCCATTACAGCAATTATACTGTGTCCTAGCCCCAGCATGGGACCCATGAAATCACTGTGCCTCTCTTCAGAGACAAACATTTCAGCAGACACAGTCAGCAAGTACTTTTAGGGATGGAGTGGTTGCGCATGTTTAGTTTGGGTTTGGTTTTTTTCACACAGAAATGCAAATCACACCATCTCTGTACCAGAGTTCTTGGGGATTTCATCTCCCCCAGCTCGTTTCCAAGCACCTCCATATCTCATAACTACTCATTAATTGACACCATTGACACCTTACAAGCCAAGACTTTGCCCAAATTATACAAAAATACAGAAGACAACAACATAACGTGGCATATCGCCACATAGAACACAGCATGTGAAGTCGTATATCCTTAACAGAGCTTACTAACTTGCACACATTCCCACAGGCAACAAGTCCCAGTTCTCCCAAACCCCAGCCATACACCTTCCCTGCAGAAGGACTGCTCCCATGGTTTGAAGACATTTACCATTCAATCAAGTCAGATAAGTTTTTTTCCTTCTAAAACAGGACTGTGTGATATTATTTCCATCTGCTTGCGGGCTAAATAGTAAACACACTTCTCACTCCACAAAATAGGGATTTTCAAGACAGCTGAAAACGCCCTCGGGCCAGGCCCAGCTCACCAAGACACCACTTACACAGCTCCAGCTCAAATACCACCCCAAATGCCACAGCACAGTTTAACTAAGAACACCAGGAACTGGGCCCTCCAGGCATTTCCAGATATTTCTAGGAAGCCTGGAATTAAACAGGCTATGGTAGGAACATGCTTTATTCCATCTTTTTCCAATATCTGCCTCAGACACCACATGCACGGTCAGTCAGTGTCAAGAAAACAAGCAGCAGCCCCTTAGGGCCTCGCAGTTCACCTTATCCGAGTTGATGATATCCTTTTTGTTGATGGTGCCCGTGTTCTCTGACTCCACACCACCCAGCTCCAGGATGTCCCGCACGTCTGCGCCCGTCGCCATCTCTCCTGCTGCTCAGTGGCCTTCTCTGCCCCCGTCCTGTCCGTTCCCTCCGGCTCTGGGGAGGGTAAAAAAGGGTACCAGGGTTAACATGCACCTCTCATGGGTACTATCCTGTACACGCGCACACATGCTTATGTGCATACATATAACACACAGCATACATATATGTATATATATGTATATACATACATACAACATGTTGCCCAGAGAAGCCGGGGATGCCCCATCCCTGGCAGTGTTCAAGGCCAGGTTGGACAGGGCTTGGAGCAACCCAGTCTAGGAGAAAGCATCCCTGCCCATGGCAGGGGGTTGGAAACTAGCTAATCTTTATAAAAGGTCCCTTCCAACCCAAACCATTCTATGATTCTATGATCATAAAAGTTGGAAAAGACCTTTAAAACCATCAAGTCTAAACGTTATCCCAGCACTGCCAAGTCCACCACTAACCTATGTCACTAAGGGCCTCATCTACACGGTTTTTGAACGTTTTCGAGGATCGTCATTCCATCACTTTCCTAGGAATCCTGACATATACACATATATATACATACATACATATATATATACACGTACACGCACATATACACATATACGCACGCATATATATACATACACACACACACGTATATCCACATACACACACACCCCCCTCAGCCGCCTCCCCATCCCCCGCCAGGCCCAACAACGGGGCCTTGTACCCGGCCGGTCCCGAGGACCAGACGCGCCGCGCCTGCGGCCCGGAGCGCAGCGGCGGGGTCCCGGGAAGCCCACAGACGGACGTACGGGACGAGGCCGGGCCGCAGGGCCGCCGCAGCCACGAGCAAACCCGCTCCCGCGCTCACCCACCGGCGCCGGATCCGCAGCCACCGGGACGGTGCGACCGGCACAGCGGCCCGGGCAGCGCCGCTTCCGCTCCCGCCAAGCGGCGCCGGAAGTGCCCGGAGCCCTTTGGGCGCCCCACCGTAGAGCTGGAGGAGCAGGGTGCGAGGGGCAAGGGTTGCGGGTTCGCGCCCCGCTCCTGGCAGATCGCGGCCGCCCCGGGCCCGGAGCCGCCTCCCCTGCTGCCCGGCGGCAGCGCCCGGACCCGCTCGGGGCCGACCTACGTCGTTCCCTGGTCGGGGCGGAAAGGTTGGCGCAGGCAGGACTCGCTCCCGCGCCAGGAGGTGGCAGCATAGCCGTGCGCGGCCCTGCCCCGACCGGTGTTTCGGAGCTGGGTCCGGGGCTGCTCCCCACCTCAGCCCGATCCTTACGCGGGAGCTGAGGCCTGCGGGACGTGCGGGGCCTCTGGGGAGCTGTCCCCAGCTGCCGGAGGGGACAAGGCAACGGTGCCTGCTTCCCCGGGGCCGTGGTGACGGGTGACTGGGCTCTGCTTTGGGCAGGCACAGCGGGGTTGTGGGGCAGGGCAGGGGCAAGAAAACCATCCCGAAGGGCTCCAGAGCTGCAGCACTTACCTGAGGCTGTGACAGCTAGGAGCAAAAGTTTTATTAATATGATTCAATAGGACTATCCTGTTTCCTCTTCCCCATGAGAGGAAAGAGAGGGGGGGATGGAGAAGGAACAGCAGAGTGGGGCCAGGAGGGACTTGTAGAAATCCCACTGAACTGCAGCAGGCACAAGATTGCCTGGCAGAGGTTTGTCCAAACCAGAAGGTTTCAGCATGGGGCACAGAGATCTACTGCCAGCCACCTCGGATAGCCCGGGAGAGGGGTGGACCTGGGGGGACCTCTTCTGTGCAGTAGCCCACAGATGAGGTGAACTTCACTGTGCTGGGGTGATTCCAGCACACAGCCCCCCAAAGCCAGGCAGGCTGTGTGGGAGTTGTTGCCATTCCCACCCCACTGGTGATCCCTTCCCACAGGGGCATCTGTACCAGGGCCAAGCCAGTGCCATTGTGCCCCAACAGGAACACAAGAATGTCAGCTGTTGTCCCTAGGAATCATCTAACTCCTTTTCTGTCCCACACTGCCAGGGATGGCTTTAAGAATCATCATCCTTCCTCCCAGCTTACCCAGGGTTTCTCCTGTCCTATCCATTTGCTCTCAGCTCTGCTATGTCCACCCAGGCCCTCCCCCCATCAATGTGCCCATTCCTAATCGTTTCCAACATCTTTCTTTCCTCTCTTTCAATTGCTGGCTTGGAGGTGGAGTCCCTACAAAGTGATCCCCTACAAGGTGGGTCTGCAGAGGGAAGCAGGATAGGGTCTTCCCAAGCTGCCTCCCTTCACCTTTGCAGTCTCACCCCTGCCTGGAACACCCAGCACTGCTGCTGCAGGGAGAGCTTTGTAAGACCAGGGAACAAAGACCTCCCATTTGCCCCTCGCTGGCAGGTCGTTCACAGTCCATTCATGTCTTTAAACAGCACTTGTAGGAAACACAATGAGTCCCAGAATAAAACTCAGAGATGAGTGGTCATTCAGTGTCCTTGGGGTTTGATTGTATCTCCCATTTCTAGGCCAGAGCTGCTCAAGCCCAGCTTCAACCCCGGTCCCAGCAAGACTCAGCCCATGCTCTGCTGGGTGATCAGCTCACTCAGCTTCAGCAAATGAAGTCCACAGCACGTCTGAGCTCCTTTCCACAGGATAGCAGCTTTTTAATCTCATGAAAGGTGGAGATGGTGGGCAGCTGGGTAGTGTTACCCACAGCCCACCTACCCCACAGCTCTGTGAGCACGGGTGTCACTTCAAGGCTGTGTCCTACCAGGAGCTGTGTGGACCTGCAAGTGAAACACATGAGCTGAGTGCTTCTGCTAACCTGATCAGCAGTGGAGCAATTAACACTGCCTTCAAAGGGACACAGAGATGTTGTTTCTGGGCAGCAGTGGCTGTTTGCAGAGCCTTCAAGGGGCAAAGGGGCACAGCTGGAGACTCTGGTCAGAGAGTCCTGCATGGGGACACATGCCATGGCCTGTACCTCCCCCAAGCACTGGGGTCCTGCCTTGACAGAGCACAGGGAGAACCCAGGGAATGCAGCAGGTCAGCGAAAGCCAGCAATGCTGGGAAGCCCAGTCCTTTGCATCCCAGGTAAGGGGACAGCAGCAGCCAGCATTGTTGTCCTGCAACCCATCACCCACCTCCTGCCATCCTGCAGGCACAGGGTGCCAAACTTGGGTGTTCCCACTGCTGCTCAGCAGCTCGGGAAGGGATATCCCTCCACATTCAGCCATGGCAGGACAGCAGTGCTGGCCCCTTCCACCCCAGGGAAGGATGCACCTCATGCCCTTTGCCCATGTCACAGCTGCCAGGCGTAGCCAAAGGTGGCCCCAGGCCAGAGGTGTGCGTGCCTCCAGCCCAGGGCTCAAGGCATGAGTGTCTCCCAGCCTGGCACCAGCGGAGGAGGACAAGTGCAAACACTGTGGCCAGTGGGGTGGGAGGAGGTTATCTGGGGCCCAGCAGTGGAAAAACGCTCGGTGTGTGACTAAGGCACAATAGCAGCAGGTGTGGGTCCAGGCAGGGCGAGTGAGCCGGAGAGTTATCGCTTCCCCGTGGGTTCAGGTGCCTGAAGCCAAATGTTTCCTAAAGGTGCGGTGACAGCCACAGCCCCGTTATCACGGCGCCTGGCCCACCCCAAGCAGCGGAGGCAGGCTGCTGGACCTTCCCTTCATGGCAGGGATCAGACACTTACCACTGCCCCATTGGGAATGGGGATGCCAGCCCTGTGAGCATCCTTCAGCAGGGACACCTTGGCTGTAGAGAGCCAAGATCTCACCTTGTGTTGTGGTGAGGAAAGGTCTGTGTCCAGCCCTCCAAGCACCCCCAAAGCATCCCTCCCACCCTGGAGCACCCAGGCTGCATCCCACCTTCAGCACCATGTTGTCCCTATGGACCACAGTAACCCCAGGGTAAAGCCCTGCGCAAGGAACCCTCCCAGGCCTACACCCCCCTTCTCCCCACATCTCTGCAACCCTGGACCACCACTGTTGGACCTGTTGGCTGTAGCATGGGGGATCCCCACAAGCTGTGCCATACACAGAGCTTAGAAACCCACCCAAGCTACTCCTTCACCCTCCTCCACCTACGAAACCCCCGGGGGCCCTGCTCCTGCTGGCAGGTGACTACATGGTGCCAGGCCTGCTGCGGCCGTGACTCACCTCACTGCTGGGAGGTGTTTCTCCATGCCTCACTGTGCCGGTTCGGCTGCACCCCAAAACCATGGTGCTGCACCTTAAGGTTTGCAGGAGGGGATTAGAGACCTCTGCATCACCCACCACCATGGCTCCCATGGTCAACCAAGGAGGTGACCAGGGGGAGAAAGGAAGGGGAGGTATGGCCAGGCAAAGGGCTTTCAGCTGACCATGGGCAAACGTACCGTAGGCAGGGATTACACGCCAGCCCTCCCTTCCTCCATGTTGCTGATGGTGTTTTCTTGCTGTCCTCGTCACTTTGCAGGGCAGGTTTTGCTGAGGACAGGACTGGGCTCTCTCCCCCAGCGGGGAGCACGCCTTGGCCCAGGCGATTGGAAGAGGGTGTTTTTTATTAACAACAAATTAACCATAATTGCCTTTTCCACTACAGCCGCTCCTCCTCCCCCAGGTGAGGTTCCCAGCCATGCCAGTCCATGCGACCGCCATGCTCCATCGTGTGCCCGAAGGAGTGCCCTGCCCCAGGCCTTGGGAAGTGAACACGGAGCAGCTCTGCCTGGAGAAGGAGCCAAGGCACCTTCCCCTGTGCTCACCTCCATGTAAGGTAGCGGCAGCAGAGCCGGACCTCGCTCCCGCCCTAGTGCAGCGATGATGAAAGGCAAGGAAGAACTGGTTTGTGCTCTGATCTCAGAGCCGAACCTCAAAACAGCCGCGGACCGTCAGTCCGGCTCCCAGGATGCTTAGGGAGGACAGGACAGCAGAGCCAGCCTTTCCAGTGGGACAGGATGGTTGGAGAAATTCATCGTTCCCCTGGAAATAAAAATAATAATCATAATAAAAACACAAAGCCAGAGATTACTTATACGCACACAAACACGCAGGCACGCACTCTCCCCATCTGGCTTTGCCAGCCTGACTCATCGCTAATTCAAACAGCCCACACCTTTCCCTCTCCCTCCATGTGACATTTTGAACAAGTCTCTGGGGAAGAGGCAGCAGTTTTACTTCAGCCACCCCTCACCATCAGACCCTTGCCCTTAGGTACCAGGGGTCCCAGGAGTGAGAAACCCAACACAGCTCACTGGTGTCCCAGCATGGTCACCCCACACAGGCACCTCACAGAAAGTGGGGCACTCAGTGGGTGGAGGCAGCTGTGGAAAGGACAAGTGATTGAGCTTGGTGGATCCATGACACCTGTGTCCCATGGTCCCATGCCCAGGCCTGAAGGGAGGGCACAACATCCCAAGCCACTGCCACCCTGCCTAGAGACACCTAGACTTTTGTACCTACTTGGGGCAGACCCCAAGGCTGGATGCTGGCCCAGGGACACTGAGCCCAATCCCAAAACACTAGCCACCCCTCAAGGGGACATCAGCCCTAGTCTACTGCTCAGTTCAACTCTCCACAGCTGCAGGCAGGAAAACAGGGAAGGACTAGGATCAGCCCAGCTCATGCTGGCAGCACAGCTACATCCCATATCCGCTTGCGGGGCAAGGAGCCCCAGGGCATCCCCCAGCCCTGGTCAGCCACCAGGGGTTGTGGCAGTGAGCGCAGGAGGAGGAAGCCACCAACACCCTGGGCCAGGGCACTGCACAGCCCTCACGGCACGCTCCCTGCACTGCCAGCATGGTGTCAGGTCCAGACAAGCCCCTGGCTTCAGGAGGATGCGTGCATCACGGGTAATCAGCTGTGGGAGGGAGGGATGGAGCCAGACCTGCTTGCTGAGCTCGGGACCTGCCAGCACACTTGTGCTGAGTCACCACCTATGAACGCAGGGAAACCTCAGCACCTGAACCCCATCGAGCTACTGGGACACCCCAGGAGGGCAGCAGGAACAGGACCGGGCAGCCACCAACAACCTCCTGGTTGTGACCACAAGGCCTGTGCCATACAGCTTCTGCTGCGGGGGACAGCGGGACAGGAGCGCTTAGGAAGACAACAGGAGCAGCAAGGCTCCCGGCACAGTTTCGGCTACCGTTCCCTTTAGGAATGACTCACCGCAGGACCAGTCACGCCATCCCGGTGCCACAATTGCCCCATCTGCAGATTAGGGAAACTGAGGCACAGGGAAGTGGGGTGACTCAAGAGCTGTTGCACAGGAGATGCTGCTCAGATGCCGAGGCTTGGGCGTTCCCCATCGATCCTCCGCAGCTAACTTAAGCAGAAATGAACATCAATGTAAATATTTACTGACAAGCAAGCCCAGCCTCACCCTCTCGTCTTAGAAGAAAGCTTTAAAGTAAACTCTCCTGGCTCTTTCATGTTTACATCTTGTTTATTTATTATACAGCAGATCACAATATTTCAACAGTTTGCATATAAAGAAAAGTAACATTTCAGAGTGCGAGAGACCTAACGTGCCCAAGCAAAGAAATGTTAATTAACAATATACACAGACGGGAACAGTGCACTTCCCAAAGCCGAGACTCATCTGGGTTCCCAGCTGGAAGAAAAAAATATATTAAAAAACCAGAAACATTATATATTACTGCTTTGTTTAATTTACAACTTGCTTTGCAGAAGCTGCACATAAAAAGACTCATTTTCTTTTGAGTTTTCTCTTTGGTTTTCTTCTATGAAAGTTTCAAGTATAGCAGAGACCTGGGCATTCATAGCTGGACTCATTGTCCTTTACACACTAAGTTTAAAAAAGCAGCATGGGGAAGGCAGCTGCAGCAGTACCTGGTGTCATCCTGAGGGGAAGAACAAGACAAATGGAAGCAGACAAGAGCCCAAAGAGCCGTTTTAGGCTCATGGGAATGGCCAGGACCAGACTGCCCGGCAGGGTCCCGGGCTGGCAACAGGAGCATCCCCACACCCTGTACAAGGTGATGCTGCACTGCCAACCCCTGCAAACCTTTGTAGCCATGAGCCAGTCAGGTGCCATCCTCACCCCATCCATGCTGGGCTTTTGGGTCAGGAGGTTTGTTCTGATGGCCTCAACCGAGAAGACCAGCAACCCACTTCCCAGCGCTGCAACCTGCACACCCTGTGGGCACAGGTCTCTGGCCAAAACCAGGCCAGAGTCAGCTACCCCAGTGCCTGGAGCCAGGAAGTGCTAGGATTTAAGGGGAGAAGGTTAAGCTGATGCCAAATACAAGCCAGGAGCTCTGGAAACAGATCCCTGCTGAACCAGCCCCCCCCCCCCCCCTTACCAGATACCTGGCTGAGAAGTGGGGGATCCTCCAGGCACTGGGAGCTGAGTGGTGATAGGGCAGGGGCTAGAGACATTCCTTGCAGCTTTACTCCCCATTTACACCCCAAAGCAGCCATTCCCCACCATGCAGCTGGGCCCAGTTCTCACAGCAGGGGCAGGAGGAGAAAACTAGTTAACAACTACAAGCAGAGATAGCCAGGCTGCTCCCCAGTGCCATCCCCTGCCTGACGCTATTTACACCATGAGCTGGCTCTGGGGACACAGAATCCGGCCACAGCTCCCGCTCACATGTGCCGCTTCATGTGGAGGGCGAGGTGGTCAGAACGGGAGAAAGCCCGCTCGCAGAGGTGGCACTGGAAGGGCCGGTGCCCTGTGTGCTTGCGGTAGTGGCGGGTCAGCTCATCGGAGCGGGCAAACTTCCAGCCGCAGCCTTCCCAGGTGCAGTGGTAGGGCTTCTCGCCTGTGGAGAATGGGCATCAGTGGGCTTGGAGGTCTTCATCCTCCCTATGCTTTCACCCCTGTGCTACTCTGCCCAGCACCCCCTCCTTTCAAGGGGAACCCTGACCCCCACCCTTAGTAGAGGGGAGCCCTGTGGTGTACTCGCCCCTGTCTGCCCCACCTTTCTTTTGTCCCCCATCTTCCTGCTCTTCCCCCATGTGCTCTGCTGCCCATGTGCCCTGCATGAGACCCATCCTTTGGAACCTTTGCCCCCTTGCAGGGCCCCTCCACGTGCCCCCACCCCACCACAAACCATAAGTGCTCCCCTGCTTTTTCATACTGTCGGGATTCACCATGTGCTCTACCCCAGCTTTGCCACAGGGGTCTTACTATACAACCCCATTCTCCCCTACTCTGCTCACCCCCATCTAGGGTGGGGGGCTTCTCCTTGTGGCCCCAGGCCCTGCTTCTTCAGTCTCCACTGGGCCCCAAAGCCAGCAAGTAAGGGTGTCACATGGGTCCTCCGTGTCCCTGCCCAGCCCCACCATGGGGGTCCTTCTGAGCACCTGAAGTGAGTGCAAGTGGACATCACCACTTGCACCCTGTCCCCCACACAGCCCTATGCCGACTACAGGGGGGGCCTCTCTAAGTGCCCCCACTAAGGGGACCCTCCATGCACCCCAAACTGACCAGGGGGTCAACGAGCACCCAGCACCCCCAGGAATGACACAGGTCTCACCGTGTATCCCGGTCCTCCCACCTGGGACTCTTTGCTTAACTTCCAAGCGTGGCCGCCCCCCTTAGCTCCCCCCCTCCCCCGACATGCCCTTACCTGTGTGGGTCCGCATGTGCGCCTTGAGGTGGGAGCTCTTAGTGTAGGTCTTGCCGCAGCCCGGGTATTCACAGTTGTGCGTGGCCGTCCGCTTGCGGGCCCACGAGCGGCGGCCGCGCTTGGGCTTGCAGTCCTCGGGGGGAGCCCCGGCCGGGAAGTACTCCAGCACCGGGGAGTTGGGCGGCGTGACCAGCAGCCCGGGCAGCCCCGCCGGACCCGGCCCCGGCCCCTTCAAGGGCTCCCTGAAAACACTGAAGTGTCCATGAAACTGCGGCGGCGGCTGGGGGGCGAAGTGGGGCGCATAGCGATGCGGGGCCATGGCGTAGTGAGGCGGCAGGTCGGCCAGGAGGTGCGGGTCGGTCCCGGGCAGCGGCTCCTCGGGGGGGCCCAGGCGGCCGTGAGCGAAGCCCGGGTAAGGCAGCGGCGGCCCCGGCACCGGTCCCGGCCCGGGACCTGGTGCTACGCGTGGCTTATGCTCGCCGCCGCCCGGCCCCAGGTACTCGGCGGCGGGCACCCCTAGCATGCAGGCGCGCTCATCTGGCTGCTCTTTCTTGATGCGGGGCCCGAAGGGCTGAGCGGGGTCCAGGGGCAGCGGACGGGCCATGGCTGGGTGGAGAGGTGGGTGGTGGTGCGCGGGGTGGTGAGGGTGATGGGGGCCCCCGGACACCCGCAGCTCCGTGTACTCTCTCCGTTGCAGATCGCAGTGGCCGGGCAGATCCGGGGTGAGCAGCTCAGCCACGTAGCTGTGGCCCTGGCCCTCGGGGTAAGGCGCCGGGAATTTGCCCGGCGTGGGGTAGGCGCCGTCGCTGTCGTAGGTGGTGCCGCAGCTCTCAGGGGTCTCGGGCAGGGGGTAGTTGGGGCCGGGCGGCCCCTGCGCGCCACTGCTTGTGTGAGCCAGGATGAAATCCAAATCCACGAACTTGCCCAAGTCGTCCTCCTCCCGCTTGACGGCGGCGGTGCCGTCCTGCTGCAGCATCCTCTGTGGGGAAGAGGGGTGTCAGGACCGCCGAGAAGATAGCGACCGCCGTTCAGACCCTGCGATCCGTGCCTCCCGCTCGGGGCGGCGGCTCCCCCCAACCCGTCCGACGGGTCGGCACCGCTCCGGCTGCGCCACCCCCAGGACGCCCTCCGACGGTGGGAGGGGGCCTCCCCTACCGGCCAGGCAGCACCCCATCACGGGACGCTTTGCTCCATGCCCCGTACCCCCCACCGCCCCTTCCTCACTACCAGGTGCTTACATGGAGCATGTCGGCGGGCCGCTCCTCCAGCGGCAGCAAGTTGGCGAAAGTAGAGATTGAGGGCAAAGTGCTCTCATCCACGGCCGCCGCCATGGCGGGCCGGGCGCGGGGGACCAGAACGGAGCCCGGCACCGCTCCGCTCCCCGCGGCGGCGGCAGCGCTGCTCTGCGCCACCCCGAGCCCCTAAGCTGTTAACAGCATGGCTGCGCGCCTATTGGCCCGACCTGCATTGATATTCACCGCCGACGCCTTCCATTGGTTCCGCTGGTGCTAGAGCCACGCCCCCTCTCTGGGGGCTGCCCCGGCGGACGGGGGTCGGCGGCTGCCCCAGCCCCAGCGGTGCTTCGCGGCCCGCATGGTCCCGCGGCCCGGCCGAGGCAACGTGGCTGGGGTTCCCTCGCACTGCTCCACGCCGGGACCATGGGGTGCGTAGCTGGGTCCAACCCGTGCCCTGCCCAACGGCTGGAGTTAGGGGCAGGGGTGCTAGTGCGGATCGCAAAGCCCAGGGTGTCTGCTGCCCGTCCCCGTTCCGTAGTGGGGTCAGCGGCTCCGTGACACTGTGCCCCACGCTGCGAGCGGAGAGAGGGGTTGTAGATCGCAGAGCCGGTGGTCGCCCGGGATGCTGCCTCACTTGGGACAAGGCCAGTGGCTGTGGCGTATGCCAGTGTGTGTGGGTCCGAGTGGGAACATGCCGGGGAGAGCTGGTGCGGGGCTACAGCCGAGCACAGCGCTCGCCATAGGGGACATCAAGCCCATCAGCATGCAAAGGTGCTGCCGGGGAGCCAGGCGGGGGTGGCTGAGCTCGGTGCCCCCACACCACTCACTTCATGTAACGGGGCCCGTGAGGCCGCGTCCCCCCATGCCTGTGCTGTCGGTGAGGCAATCAGCAGCACAGAGCACACCGGCTCCCATCTGGCCGTATGCAGGGTGCGCGTGTGAGCAGAGATAACTGCCCAGCGGACCCTGCCGGGGACTGGCACCCTGCCTGCCTTGCCTCATCTCGCCCCACAGCCCCTGCAGGACGTTTGTCTGCTCTGCCTGGGGACTGGCACCATGGCTAAGCCTTGGCTGTCCTACCATGGCAGCACGGGCTGGCTGCCTGACCCTGCCCACCCCATGGAGCCCCTGGGACAGTGCTATCCACCCAAGGGCTTCCACAGTGGAGGATGCAAGGGGATCAGGATGTCACACCTCACAGGAGACATTTTTAGGTGCTCTATTCCATGCTGGCATGTCAAGGCATGGAACGGAGACTCAGGGCGCTGTGCGGGCCTCCCGGGGTCTCTCTTGCCACCCTGTCTAGCTCACAGCAAGACCTCCGCTTGGCCCCCATCCACCCGGTACCAGGAATGGCCCTGCTACTGTTGCGTTTGTCAAGAAGCAATGGCCCTTATCTCCTGGAGCCTGTCTCCTTGCTTTCTGGGGCTTTCCATCCCTAGATACCTTTCTAAGAACTGGGGCTGCTGCCTGTGCTATTCAGAAGCGAGGAGTCAGTTAAAAAAAAAACAAATATAAACAGCAGAGGTGAGGTGCGCACACATGCACACGCCACTGCTGGAGCCAAAGCTACTCTACCAGTTGCTTTCATCACCGCGCTTTAATTATAAGGGTGGAGCGTTGCAATAAATTATTTCAGTAATCCAGTGGAACAACAACGATTCAAGTCTTCCCCCGTTTACCAAGAATCTCTGCCCTGGTTTCCAGAGCACACGCTGGGTCACTGCCTGGGCCCCGCGTGCCTGGCTGCTGGTGGGGGAGCATGTTTATTAATGCCATCCAGCGGGTCAAAACACATGGGCTGCACAGTACTTCCTTGGAAAAAGTCACCTCCAAAGTGGGAATGAAGCACGAGGGCATCACTCAAAATCCCTTTTATCCTGGCCCCAAGAGTAGTTTATTGAAGTCACCGGTTAATCCCATTATTTGTTTCTTGGCTAAATAATGGTTAATCAGAAGGCAGTTCCTGCCCCAAACTTTTATAGATAAGTGAGAGCAGATGCCACAGGAGACAAACACTAATTCCACTTGGTTTTCCCCTTTTCCGGGCAGTTTGGTGTCTGTATCCATGCAGCACTGCCTTATCTTAAGAGAGGCGTCGCCAGCAGATCGGGTTCTTTTTTTTACAGTCAATATTTCTTGCAAATGTGGGATATTCCCCAGGAAACTCTTATTGCTGATGCTACGGTGGGAGGGCCGGCACGGAGGGGAGCGGCACTGCGCCAGGCACCGCACCAACACAAGCGCTGCCAGTGCTGACCGTGCAGGGAGCCGGGAAGGGCGGCACCAAGGGGGGGTTGCCTGCTGTGAGCCATGGGGTGGGCACGGGGGGGTCCCAGCCACAGCCCAGCCGCGGGAGCCTCCTCCAAGCCAAGAGGGAGGCACAGGAGCAGCTGGCGCGTGCTCAGCCCGCTGTTGACAGAAGCCTGTTTAGGAAATGCAGATTATCTCCCGTGCCACTACAACAGGCTGTCAAGTCGCTGGCATCCCAGAAGATCAAACGGCAAGTCCAGCGGCAGAGCAAACAGAGGGTGGGAAGGGCTGCCCGTCCAGGTGATGGCCAAACAGGAAAGGGTTAATGGTTATCCCTACTCTTGGCGCATCTGGCAGCGGACGAGCGTGTGATGCCCAGCGTGGTGCGCTGGCAGTGGCTCCATCAAGCTCCGTCAGAGCATTGACAGCCCTGCTAATGCTGCGGCAGTGCCACGGCACCAGCACCCTCCTCGCAGCATGTGTGGGGCAAGCAGGGGACACTGCAGATGTTGCTCTGTGGGGTCCCCAGGAGACCCAGAGGAGTTCTCTACACCACAAAACACTGGGGACTGAAAAACACCTGCACTGCATCCTCTGCTGTTGGATCAGTTGGGTCATTTGGAGCTGGGGGTCTCAACTGAACCCAGGGACTCCCCTTTGGGGTATCTCTGGTGCCCTCTCTCTGATGGGAAACATGAGCCTTTCCAACACCAGCCACGGCATCACAGCCTGGAGAGCTTCTGCTTCAATGGGAGGCAAAACCCATCCCCCAAAGCTCTGCAGGGGACCCCATAGGTAGGTGCCATGGGATCCCATGTAGCAGGACACCCCTGTTGTTGACCTTCCAGTGCTAGGTCCCTGAGAACAGAAAGTGAATCTGTCTGGGTTTTACTTTCTGTCCTCTACATGGGGCTGGCCTGCCTGGAGAAGGGTCCAGGAGTCCCCAGACCTGCCCATCACCCCCCAAAGCCCCCTTCCCATCCTGAAAAGAAAAGAGGAACTGAAAATGAAGTTAAAACATAATTCAATCCGGAGCAGGTCCAGAGTAAAGTCATCTGCTCTTATCGTGTGCTGGCAGGCTCTTCCCACTCTGCAACAAACACAATGTTATCAGGGCACAGAGGGCAGATTCGTTTGCACCGACCGATGGAGCTTCTGTGTCCGCCCTGCCTGCCCAGGCCTGGGGAGCACTGGGATGCACGGCTGAGGTCTGGGGCTGCTGGAGGCTCTGGAACACAGGCAGAGAGCCCTGGCAGCACCATCAGGGAGCTCGTCCCTAGGATGGGGTGCTCTGGACAGGGACCACATCCAGCGCCCCCATCCAGGCTCATTCCATCCAGGGGAGCTGGGTCAGGTCCTTCCCAATGAATGTTACTGTGGAGTAAACAGTACGGAGGGACAGGGGTTCGTGGTGATGTCTTTGCCTACAGGAACATACATGGCCCCATCTCCCATGGAGGCTGCTGAGCCAGCAGAGCTGGGCACCCTGACTCCCCACACTGCGGCACCCCGCAGACCCAGCACACGCTCCCAGCCCCACTGCACCGCCTGGACCACATCCTGCTTTGATCTCTGCCTGCTGCCTGGCTGTGCCCTGGCTGCTGCGGGTCCAGCGCAGCCCTCGCCGTCCTTCTTTATATACCCCTGTTATTTTTAACTCTGCCTACGCAAATCCCGAATCCGGAATGAGCAGCAGCCGGGGGCCAAGGGGAAATGGACATGGTGCAAATTTCCTGCCCTTTTTACCTCTCTTCCTCTATAACATACAGCAACGTTTTTCCTCCACTGCTTAACTTTCACTGGTTCAGGAAAACTGAAAGCACCAGGCTCTGCACAGAGCCACGGGGTCCGTCACTGCAATGGATGGGGTATCCCCCAGCTTGGAGGGGACATCACACCCAGTACGGTGCCTAGAGATGTCCCAACCTGTAACACACCACAGCCTCCATTGGTAGCACAACATGCTCGAGGTGTCCAGCCAGTCCTCGCAGCAGTGGCCTCATGTGTGAATGGGTGCACTCACGTGCCAGCCCAGGGCCGCATCTTGCCCTATGACCCAGTGATATTCCACAGCTCCATCCACAAAAACTGGGTCTGGACCATGGCTGTGGGAAGCATGCACTTTGGCTGTCACCAGTACCCACGCTGGAGAAGACCTGTGCCACCCCAGCAGCTCCAGGAGTAAAAGGAGGAATTGGTGGTTTCTGGTTCCTTGTGGGCAGCAGGGGTGGCCAGGAAGAGTGCAGGATACTTTTCCCACTAATTCTGATTTATCTTTACAAAAACAGCCCAAGACACAGAGCCAGCAGGATACACAGAGAGTTTCACAGTAGGCATCGTAGTACGGCTGCGTAGCACAGGGGTTGTGCACATTAAAGCCCTCTCTTGTGCGCTGGGGATTAACAGCTGTACATCATGTATGAGCAATTCAGCTGCAAAAGTTTCAACTAATCCAGGTAAAATCCACCACTCTTTTCCGAGCAGCCTCCATCCCTCCTTCCAAATCATACTCTAAGGTATTGAGTCTCCAACGAACTCACACTCTTAATGGGTGGGGAAAACCTCCCTTGCCTTGCACAGAGGCAGGGAAAGTGCTGGCCAGCCCTGCTTCACGCCATTTCCCAGCCCAGAGAAAACCCAGCTGGCCCCGGAGGCTGGGCACTGGTGTGGCCATGGTACGCGTGGCACTGCCGCCCCAATACAGGAATGACTGTCCTATGGGAGCTGTGGTGTGGAGCTGAGCAAACGGGCTGTGCCATGAGTCACTGGCATCCATGGAGACACAGCCCTGGTGAGAGGCAGAGGGGGACAGTGCAGGGGACAGCAGGACACACAGGGAGCTGGGAAGCCATCCTGCTCTGTGTGGAGGTTGTTTTCCAGCACATCTGATTTTGTTATTCCTCCCATGCAGACCGCAGCCGCCTCGCAGGTGTAAATCACACACTGCAGAGCATTGCACAAAATAGCTGCCCTGCTGCCATCCACTGCCCCCGGGACATGCACTGCACCAAGGCCACCTATTCCAGAGTGGGACATCAGCCCTGGATCACAGCATCCACACATGGATGCCAAGGTGCAATTGCCCACGTGCAGCCCATGGAAATGCATCCTCCCACCTGCAACACACACAGACACTTCTGGCAGCAGCCGCCTCGCATCGGGAGCAAATCCCTTTGTGCCATCATTACATAAAGCTGCTTCATTCTGCTCCAGGAAGTGGCATTTAATTACCCTGGTAGTAAATAGGTTTGCAACATATTACAAAAGGCTGTATTTTTTTTTCCCCAACCCTGCTCATGCTCTGTGCTGGTGAGCTCATCCCTTGGGAATACCAGCTCCAAAATAGATTTGCTCCCTTGTTGGAAATAATCAAATGGGAATCCAAGCTGGCCGAGCCCAAGCCCAATTCCTCCCTTTGTTCTGGGGCTCTGGCAGTGAAGGGGTTCAGAGTGGGGCGACAGGAACTCGCCTTCTCTGTAATTGACCTCCGATGATGAAACAATCAACCAAATGATTTGGAAATGTGCATCCAGTGAGATCATCGGGAAAACTTCTTCGGGAAGGAGCCTGGAGAAAGGAAGGTGGCGGTAATCCACCTGCTCAGCCGCCTCGGCAGGCCTCGCTGCGTGGCACGGCTTGGCACAGCACAACACGGCCACCCAGCGCCCCTTGGGACAGCTTGCTGCTGTTTCATGCCTGCAGCTACCTTTCCAGGGCCAATACTGGGGAAGGGGAAGCGGGACCTGCCCCAGGTGAGCTGAGCAAAGACAGGTGGTAAATGGCACCACTTCCCATCTACCACTGTGCCAGTGGTAGAGTCACATTGTCAACAAGTCCATCCCAGATGCCTCTTGGTCCCAAAGGCAAGAGTGTGTCTGGAGCACCTGCTCCCATGGGACACCCATCCCTGTTTCCAGCCCCAGCTGCTGGGTGCCTATTTATCCCATGCCATCACCAAGTGGCGGTGCTGCCTGTCTCTGTCCCTGCCAACCCAGCCCCACTATGAGTGCTGTCACCTCAATGGGTGTCTCTAGGACCTGCTATTCCAGGGTGCTGCAGAGGGATAACCCTCTCGTCCCCATCAGGGCTGCCTCCATGGGGATTTTCACCTCTGGCACCCCGTCTCCAACCTTTCTTAGCCCAGCAGGAGGGCAGCCACCCGGGATGTGCTGGCATGGCTCCCTAGCCCTGGCTGTGCCACCGGGGCTGCCCCGGCTTTCCCAGCCCGGGTGACAGCAGGCTTTAGCTTGGCATGTGGCAGGAACTAATTTTGGCCCAAAGGGTTTCCCTCCCACCAGCATGGGTTTGAAGACAATCTTAGCCCGAGTCTTCCTTCCTCGGCTGCCAGCGACCCGGAGCCGGGCTGATGTGTTTGTGTTGTGTGTGCATGTGTGTGTGTGTATCTCCAAACCACAACAAACATTTCATATTCGTTTTCTTTCTTTCCCTCATTTTTTTTTCTTTCCCTTTCCCCTCCGAGCTGTGGTATTTAAATAGTAGGTGTGGTCCCGGCGCTGCGTGCCAAAACCAACACCAGCTCCGGAGCAGATAACCCTGCGAGCAAACGCAGCAGCGAAACCACGCCGGGCTGCCGGGATCGCTGCGCCAGCACGGGCAGCGCTGCCCGGCATGGTCATGGCATGGCCCTGTGGGCAAGAGGGCACAGCGTGGCTCCTTGGGCCACGAAGGCTTGGCTGGAGCGGCTCTGTGCAGCTGGGAGCTGTTTGGGATCGACCCAGGTGGCCTTCATTTTGTGTTTTTTATATATAAATCAAGGCAAAACATTTTGCTTAATTGTCTGTTTTTACCTTATAAATGATAAAAAGAATTTTTTTTTTTAATTAAGAATGCTACTTTTCTCCCCCAAAAAGTAGAGTGTGAGCAAGTGGGAGGAGGAGTCCCTCCAGTGTTTTAAGAGGAACTTGTAAAGAAACTTTCTTACGCCCTGGTGTTTTTCTCATCCAAGCCAAAAGTCCTGAACTATGGTGAACGTCATGTATTTCAGCATGAGTCACTCGGAGAGAGCCAGCTGCTTCGCCTACTCTGGCTGCGCTGGCAGTACCGGTGTCCACGAGGGACAGTGGAGACAGTGGGGATGGAGGGAATCTCTGCGTGCTTTTGGTCCAAGGATGGACAGAGGCAAATCTGGACAGTCAAGAGAGGGATGAAGAAAGATCACTGCAGAGCCATAGGCTGAATCCTGCCTTTTGCTGGGGATGCAGATGCTCTGGGGATGGACAGGGCTTGCCTTGGAGCAGCCATTAAGATTTGAAGCTTTGTGGCACAAGCATAACCTTCGAGAAGCTCCCAAGCTCATTGCAGGTGAATGTACACACGCGTGTGCAGTGCTGCAGGTGCCACAGTCAGTCGACTCAGAGCCGCAGCATCCCGGCTCCAGCAGAGCCTGTGCTTGGCTGCCAGTGTTCCCCAGGGCAGCACCTACACCTGAAAAGACAGAGGAAGATCCTTATCATAGCCTTCAATGCCCGAGCTTTCTGCAGAGCTGGCAGGGCAGCAGGTGCCTCGGAGGGCAGGTTCTCACAAGGTTTTGATCCTGAGGGGACTCAGTTGCTGTTCGTGAGCAGTGGGATAGCAAGGCAGTGCTCCAGGGGAGGGATTAGGGGGAAGCCTGAGATTTCCCAGCCTCAGCATGCACACATTCTCTCCTCCTCGCTCCCTGGGTGGCTCTGGGGCGGCAATCCCAGTTTGCTCCTGCCCTTAGATGCCCTGCAGGAAGCAGGCAGGAGGCGCACTGCCTTCCCGCAAATGCGGTCCCTAACACCACCCTGGGGGTGAAGGACCCCAAAGCAGAGACCACCACCCTGAGGTGAACGGTCCCTGGGACCCCAGCTGCTGGCGGTGATGCCAGGAAATGAGGATGCTCTTCTCCACCTGTTCCAGGGCGCTGTGCTTCTGGGGCTGGAGCCCAGCACCCCGCCCAGAGGATGTGTCCCCTGACCAGACAGTGCTGGGGGTGGCCAGGGGCTGTTTGTCCCTGTGCTGGTGCACGGCCGTGGCCGGGCGTGCGGCAGGAACAGCAGCACACCTCTCCCTGCCTCCCAGCCCTACAGCGGCTGCGGTGCTGGAGCGGAGCCGGCCGGGCGTGCAGCGCATCACCAGCAAAGCAAGGTGCACAGCGGGGCCGGGATCCACCCAGCCCGTGGCAGAGTAGGAGGGTCCTTGGCACTGGAGGTGCTATTTTAACATCCACAGCCGAGCCGGATCCCTGCCCGACCTCGGTGTGTGTTCAGGCTACAGGCAAATAGCCCCGAGCCCAAACTCAGCCTCTAACGGCCTCCGTTTTCCTCGGCTCCATCTTCCCTGCCGCTATTCCCACGTGCCAGCCATCCCAAGTGCCATCGAGGGTCTCCGCGCAGCCGCTGTGTCCTGTGGCTCTCCGGGGACCACTCGGCTGCACTGGCGGGTGTCCCAGCGCGGAAAGGAAAATAAGGTTCGGATGTCACCTCCCCAGTCAGGAGAGGAAAAATCTTTCCACCAAAACACGCTTTTAATCCCTCACCGAGCACAGCCAGTGTTGGAGCCTCCGGCCCCTCAGATTCCTGAACAAACAGGGAATTTTCCACCTACATCAAAGCAAAGCCATGTGGTTTTGCAGGATGGATGCAGAGGCTGTGCCCCGTGCACCTGCCTGCCTGTCTCCTTGTTTTGGAAAGTGATGGTGACCATGAGGCACTGAGACCCTGAGGTCCTCTGTTCCCCACCATGCCAGTTCAGTCCCTCCTGCCTCACCTGGCACCCTACACGCTGTCCAGGTGGCCATCAGCCCTGAGAAAGTCCCATGCCCCCCTGTATCCGTCTCCCATCCCAGAGATGTGCCTGACTGAACTCATGGCTCGTATTCGGGTTAGTGGGCTGCTGGACTGGGGTGTGGGGGGGTTGTGGTCCAGGCCATGGCTGAGCCCACACCACGGGTAAGGAGAGCTGGGGGGGGTGGACAGGGGATCTCCAGGGGTAAGACCATCCTGACTCCAATGCTGCACCCCATGCATGGCCCCACATCCCTTATTCTGCTCTGGGGCTGGGGCTGCTGGATGGTAGGCAGAGTTTCTATGGGGCTGCAGTGAGGCTCTGTGTAGCTCTCCATGTAACTGGGCAGCAATGTGAGGCTGTTTTTTTGGCTGCTTCTCAGGAGAAGGGGACCCAGGCCCACATCCCAGGCACTCCCCACACCAAGCCCTTTGGGGACCCTGCCCTCACAGGCTTATAGCCCAGGTGTGGGGGGTAGGGAGCCATGGGGCAGCTCCGCAACACCCCCCGCCCAAGGGAAGGGCCGGAGCAGCTTAGGGGATGGGGATGTAAGGTGCCACAAGGTGCCCTGGGGCCAGTAGAGCAGTACTAGGATGGTGCTTGGACCAGGAGCAGAAAAGTCTTGCTTGCTGCCTTAGGGTGTTGGCGGCTGCCACATCCCAGCAGGACTGAGGCCCAGCATTGCTCTGAGTGCTTGGGTGGATTTAGGGAGTCAGGATACTGCTGAATTGGCTCAAATATGGCGAGTCTGCTCCAGCTCACCTGGTACAAATGGGGCCACAGTGGGCACAGCGTCTGGGGGGATACCAAGGGGGCTCCAGCCATGCCTGGTCACCTCCCCTGAACCTGGACGGGGGTCGCCTCCCCCAGCCTCTCTGTGTGCGAGTTTGATGGACACATCTCCCCATTAGCCCAATCTGATGCACTTCAAAGCCGAGAGCAGAGCCGAGCTCCAGCCCTGGGGTAGGAGCCGCCTGCCCTGGGGACATTAGTGGCAGGCAAGGGGACAAGCGGGCAGCCAGGGGTGGCAGTGGGAATGGTGAGAGATTCCTCCGGGAATGTGCACTTCCCATAAAGAGGCTGGTTCCGGGAAGCTATCGAGGCTGAGATGCTCCGCACCTGAGCCATCAGTGCGGTGATTACGGGGCCACTCAAGGCCCCTGGGAACCCTTTTGTCTCCAGGCAGGTCTGCTTCCACCCGGCGGTGATTTTGGAGTTCTTCTCCCCTCCAAGTCCACAATTGCGGGGCCATTTGCATCTAAAATAGGACCTGGGCCCTTGAGCAGCTCCTGATAGCGGGGGCTGGGTGCTTGCTCGGGCACTAAACCCGCTAATGCAATCAGAGGGGCCGGAGGCTTCTGCATATCAAAGGTCCCGGGCTCTCTTATAGCAGCCTCCCGGCCACAAACCTCCCCTCCGCCGACTTTCATCACCGCCTCGGTGGTTGTCACGCCGCTCAAGGCAGCCCCTGGCCGCGGGAAAGCCCAAGGAGCAGGGATGGAGAAGGGGTGTCAGCCCTCCCTGGGTGCCGCGATGGGGATACCTTTATGTCTGCACCCTGCTCCAGCACTCTGCTGCTGAGGATTCCCTCCCCATAGACCAGCATGGAGGAGCTCTGGTCCCCATGCATGTTGTGGAGGAATGTGGCCATGGACAGGCTGCGGAGGGGTGCAGCCCCCACCACCCACCCGGAGCCAGGAGCACCCACAAACACTGTGACTCATGTGTGGGGTTAGTAACAACATCCTAAAGGAAACTGGCTGGAGCAGCCCTGGTCCACATTCCCTGTGCCAGGGAGTGGCACCGTCCTCATCCCGCTGTGAGGTGTCCCTAGGGAAAGGGCCGGCAGCCTCGTTGCCAAATACCAGGAGAGCACTGCTTGACATCCACCTAACGGGGTGCTGGGTGCTGAAGGCTGGGCTGTGTGGGATGGCCAGCACCCTAAGGTGGCCTGGCCGTGGTTGCTGCATCTTCCAAGGTGCGCTTGTAGCTCCACCAGCATCTTCTCCTCTTGAAAAGTGCTTTCCTCCTTGCTTATACTCTATGCACCATCCAGGGCTCCTCCAGAGCACCTTCCCTGTGTGCGGAGAGGACACTGCCCCATGGCCCAAGGTAGCCATGCAGAGATGTGGTCCCATGTGCTAATGTGCTGGTGGCACTGTGCCTCCAGGTCAGGACAGGAAAGCCCCTTTGGGTCATTGAATAATCCTTGCCATAGGCAGGTGCTGGAAACCAAGCCTTCTCTGGATGGGCTCCTGGCTACAGCTTTCTAGGTGTCCATCTCTATCAGTGTCCCAGGTCTGCTGGAGAGATGGCATGGTGCTCCTGAAGGGACACAAGGATACCTCTGCAGTACCACAGGAGCGCTGCCTGCACTGGCTTAGTGCCATGCAGGGAGCTGGCTCACAGCTCCTGGCCAGCAGTCGGCTCTCACAGCAAGCACAGCTGCTGCCCCATCCTTCTCCATAACCATCCTTCTCCACCATAACTGATGGCACTGGGGGGAGCCAGCAACTCCCAACCCTCTGCACCCCTTTGTACGGATCAGGATGAGGAACATCAAGTGCCTGCACAAGGGATGGGGCCCCACCACTGCCTGCACCGTGCCTGATTTGACCTGCTGGAGGTGGGGATGGGCCCAGGAGCCCTCAGGAAGGAATCCCGGGCAGGGGAGCAGGTTTTGCTATGCCTGCCAGCTGCTCAGTGCTGCCCGGTGTGCATGGTGAGTGTGGCAGGACACTGGGTGACTGTGGCAGTCCCACCCTGGTAGGGAAAGCTGACACTGACTCACTGCCCTCACCAGCCCTACCTGCTGGGTGACTCCTGCACCCTGTCCCATGCCTCCTGCCAGCCCCTCTGTGCTCTATATAGCAGCAGCTGCGGGCCGATACCCTGCAGGGTGCTGGGAGGATGCTGGTGGGGATGGCTGCCACCTGTGTGAGATGTCTCTTGAACCTGAGGATGGAGGGACCACACCACACCCTATGGCAAAGGCTGCACCACTGTCACCCTCCTCCTGTGCTTTGTGGTGTCTGATTCAAGTCAGGAGCAGGAGAAAGTCCTCTGGGGGCAATACACACTCAACCCCTTCTGCAGGGTCCCTCCAGACTCCTGCTGCCAGCCAGTGCATGGGGCAGGGAGAGGGGGAGCCCTTTTGGGACTGTCCCTGTCCCCAGAGCAGTGTCTGGCTGCCCCAGGGCTTGCAGGGGTGTGTTGTGTGTGTATCCCAGAGGAAGGATGCAGGCAGCACGTGCACGCATCCAGGATGGAAAGTCACGTTGGTGGTCAGTCCCCATTTTGGGAAGGGGGCCCTAGGTAGGGATGGGGCAGCAGGCAGGAGGTGGGGAGGGGATGGGTTTGGAAACCTCCCCAGCAGGTTTCGCATGGGCTAGCTCCCCTGCACAGCTCTGCTGCAGCAAGCTGCTACCTGTCTCAGTGCAACAGGCTCTCATCGTGTGTGATATGCTCTGGTCTCGCCATGTCCTGGGTGGTAGCAAGCCCAAGAGCAGCCCTGAGCATGCATGAGGCCCAGAACCCTGAGGTGATTGCAGCAGGGAGGACATGGGATGGGGAGAGTTATGCCCAGGGTCTGGCAGCAGTCAGAGCAGGGGCCAAGCCCTGCCTGCCCAGCCGTCCTGCACAAGTCCTGCAGGCACCCAAGCTCCTGGGGACCTGCAGCAGCTCTCAGCCAGCTCCCCCAGGCTGCAAGAGTACAGCCTTGGGTGCACTGATGCTGCTCCCTGTGCTCCCACAGCTAAAGATGAGTCGCATGAACCAGCGCATGGAGCCATGGACCCTAAAACCTGCTCTAGACAGGTGTGGGGTGACAGCATGGGTGGTGGTAGGGGGCTGCAGGAGAAGCTGGGTTTAGTGGGGGCTGGTTTCTGCAGGCAGGACTGGGCCGTTGGACCCCAACTCTGCTGGTGGTGCTGGTGGTGGTGCTGGTGGTGGTGCTGGATAAACCTCTTGGTTTGCATTTTTGGGGGTCTCCTGCAGCCCTGCTCCATCCTGGAGGCTGAGTACAGCGAGGGGCAGAGCAGAGGGATCAAAGGGGCGGGGGAGAGGAGCAGCTCGTGAGTTGTGGCTCATTATCTGTTATTAACATCTGTAATCTCCCGGAGAGCAAACTGAGATTTACAGCCTGTTATTAGGCTGTTACTCAACCTGTTGTGCAACAGCTCCATTTAAAAAAAAACCTGAATGTGATTAATAGCCCGCTAATAAGGGGGAAATCTCTCCTATTTAATTCAAACAGCTTCTTCTTCAGCTCTTCAGGAAGGTATGAGGTCTGAGCTCAGGTTACCAGGCTGGCTCCTGGGATCCCCTGGGACCCTCCATGCCTCAAGACACCAGCACTGGATGGGGGCCCTTGCAGCAGTTGGTGCAGCTCCCGCTAACATGTCTGGGCTCTCAGGTCCCAAAGGGTGTGCAATTGCCGCTTCCTTCCAGTGCTGGCTCCAAGAAAAGGGGGGTTCCAGCTGGTCCCTGGCCATTCCCTGTGGTCACCCTCTGGAAGAGGTGGAAACTGAGTCAGCTGCGGTTCTTATCCGAGCATCTCACTTTTTGTTTGGCCGTGACTCGCTCCTGACTCACTTTGACCCCGCAGCTTCATGCCCTTCTGCCTTTCACTGCCCGTGGCCCGAAGGGTGCCCTCTGCCCCCAGATGTCCCTACCCCAGCTACAGCATCACTTGGCTCACATCCACTTTTCCAGGCACCCAAACCTGCCTGTAAACACCTCCCTTGCTGTAAGACTACCGCATGGGAGTGCTCTCTGGTTCCTGAACCACTTTTCCACTGGGACTTCGCCTTTCCAACCTGCCCTTAGTAGGATAGGGAAGAGCGGGCAAGCGCCCCTATCCCTCACATCAAATCTCTGCACACTTCATCCCATCTGTGCCCCAAGGACCTGTCCCTGCTCCAGGAGGGGCCCATCAGCACACTCTCGTGTGGAAGAGAAGATGCCAACAACCCCCTTGCACTTTGCAGCCTGGATTTGGCCCCTGTTGCTCAGTCAATGGCCTCATTCATCTGGCTTTTGACCTGGTGACTGAGCACCGTGGTTAACTGGATTGCAGCCAGGCTCATTCTTACCTCTGCTGTCAGCCTGAGTCCTGCCTGCACTCCTGGGATGCTCCAGGAAAGCCACCACTTGAGATCCACCTCTCTACAGCCTTTCCCTCTCCCTGTGGCATCAAATTCCTTGGCCACTTCTCTTTGGACACACACTGACCCTTCCCAGAAGGACTCACAAATTCTGTCCTAGGTGAAGAGTGCAGGTACCCAAGAGCTGCTGCCACTGCCTGCTCTTGTGGGGTCTTCCCCATCCCTGGTTGAAGGTAACATCACCTCCAAATACCTGTGCTCCGGGTCTTACCAGAAATAGCTGCTTTCCAGAGCCATCCTCTGCCTGTCCTGGGGCGGTTGGAGGCATTTACCAGCAGAGAAGCAGCTCATGCCACATCCAAATGACACCCTGGGAGGGCTAGGAGATGTCTGGGCAGCTTCTTCCAGCAGCATAAGGTCTGTTTGGCAGCAAACGCTCCAGGGGAGGGCTGGGCTGGGGTCCCACAGGGCACGGGGCAGCATCCATGGGCAAGGGGGCAGTAGCACATCACGATGGGGGACACAAGCCTAGAGCTGGGGTCCCCAGTTCCCACTCCTGGCCATCTTGCAAGCTTTGGTTCACCCTGCCCAGCCGCTATCACCCACCCATGGAGCTGCCGTCGACCACCATCACCCAGTGCAGGGCTGCAGCGGGCAGGACCTGGGTACATGGACCCTGAGCACCCAAAAGCTGCAGGCAGGCGGGTGGGCAGCCGCACCGTGGTTGCTCAACGCTGCGGAGGAAGGCGAGCTGAACCCGTCCCCACGACCCACACACTTAATTAGGGCCTACCTGCGGTGCCTCGTCAGCAGAGTGCCCTCACTGCCCCAGCCAAGCGTGGCTGCGTGGAGCCTGGCCGTGCTGGCAGGCCTGGCCCTGCCTGCGCCTCACGTGGCACCGCAGCCCGGCTGCATTTCCCACATTCCTGCCAGCTCTGAGTCACCGGCACCTCTGCTGCCAAAACCCTTGCCCGTGCCTGGCCCTGCCGCCAGCTTGTGCTGGCTCCGGTGCCCGCGCATGGCTCCGTGCAACACTATGGGTACTGTCCCTGTGAGGATGCTCCAGGCTGCCCTACCAAGCCCCAGAGCTGGGTTTCCCACCCTAGACCCCAGCAGGGCAAATGGTTCTGCCATGCCCTGGGGATGCTTCAGTGCATCCTGTGGGGAGCTTGAAGGGCACCCACCCTTGTACCCTTTGCCCCAGGTAGCCCATGGAAAGGGTTTGCATCCTCCACCAGTGCTTCCCAGCTCCAGGCACTGCCTCCCTAACCTCCTGCTGCATCCTGCCAGGCTCACTGGGGTGCCTGACTCTTTCGAAGAGCCCAGTGGTGCTGCCAGCAACCTCACCCTGCTGGCAGCCAGTCTGCCCAGCCCTGGCCCCTGCTCAGGGCCACAGGCACTGCCCCACATCCCCATCCAACCACACCAGGAGTGGCATTCCCCAACACTAGGGCTGGCCTGACATCTGCAAAAGTAGCCATGACAGAGGCGTCAGGCACATGGGAAGCACTTGTCTGGTAGTAGTGGGCACCAGAGAGGTTGTGGGGATGGGGTGCGGAGGAAGGGGTGCATGGGGGTCCCCCCTACATTCTCCCCAGCAGCCCCTCAGGACGGCTGTCAGCAGGGAGCACATGTGCTTCTCCTGCCACTGTGCCACCAGTCCCAGCGTGGCACTCCCCAGATCTACTGTGGGGCCTGGCAAACCTGTGCCAAGGATTGTTGAGACCTGGCCCAGAGCTGGAGCAAGGTGTGACCCCCAGAATACCATGGCAGTGACCCCCAGCCTGGATGCCCTCCTGTGGGGCCATGGGCTTCACACCAATACCAGCATGTGCAGCATGTACCAGCACCGGTACCAGTGGTGGCTGAGCCAGGGACAACATGACCATGTGTGTGGAAGCCACGTGGGTGGAGGACGGGTCCAGGCGAACAGGACATCACAGCACCTCACCAGCCCTGTGCTGGGACAACTGGATGGGGGATCAGTCTGCATATGGGATGGAAAGGAGTGTGGGGACGTGTGGTAGGGGTGTGTGTGGTCTGGCGGTGTCCGTGGGGGTGTGCCGTATGTCTGTCCCTATGAGACATGTGAACCCAAACTGAGCCATGAGGCAGGGGAGGTGAGAGGTAAAGAGGTGAGTGGGCACATGGTGGGGTTGCATGCATGAGGTATGTATGGCAGGGGGATACATGGTGTGGGGTCTGGGTAGAGTACACACGGATTTGGTGGGTGTGCATGGTGTGTATGTGACATAGAAATGTATGTAGGACATACATTGGTGAGTGTTGCACATGCTTTCAGATGGGGGCATTTGTGGGGTACATATTTGGTATGGAGGACACTGATATACGCACAGTGAGTTTGGAGGAGGTGCGTGTGTGTAGGCTGCGCATGCAAGTGGGACATGCGTGCAGGCATGTGCATAGCACCTAGGAGGATGCAGTAGAGTAGGGTGCAGGGGGTGTGCACATAGGTGGTGTGTGTTACACAGCAGTGTGCACTGCAAGGTGCATGCGATGTCATGGCATGTGTCCATCCACCTGCACACACGTGCGAGTGTCCCTAGCAGCAGCTCCTGGGGCGCAGCAGTGTTTCGGTGAGCACCACCAGCGGGTTGGTGAGCTCTTGTGCGAGCAGGTAGCTGGGGACCAGCCCCAAGCCCTTCCTGGTGCCTCTCCCAGGAGCAGTGGCTCCAAAGTCACGACACAGGGGCCAGGCTGTCTCTTTCCGGCTGTTTCCCAGCCTGTCAGGCCAGTCATGTTGGGTCTTGCCGCGATTTCCCGGATGGCTGCTTGGCACCTGCCTCTTCCCCATCCGGATGGGCAAGTTCCTGGAGCACCAAGCTGGGGCAACGCATCACCCTGGCCCTTGTACTGCCTTCCCTGGCTCCATGCCCGGGCTCCAGCATCCCACCCCAGTGCTGGATGGCTCTGTACTGTGCTGTGGCCGCCCTGCTGAGTGATGCTGGGCGGGCAGTGAGGCACTGGGGCTGGGAGTGCTGCAGGCAGGCACTGAGTCATACCAGGGAAAAACCTGCCACCTCTGTGCCGGGTGGTTGGGGTGGCTGGACTGGATGGACAAGTCAGGCCTGGGCGGGCAGTGCGGCACTGTGTATTTGCCACTGTGGCTGGAGGATGTCCCGGGATCGGTGTTGTTGAGGACGGGCATCTCCCAGTGCTGGAGCTGGGGATGAGGTGCCCACTGCACGGGGGCTGCCCCAGGGCTGGGAGCTGGACAGGCAGAGCCAGGCTGGGATGGCCCCAGTGAGCCAGGCTATCCCTGCCACTGTGCACGATGGTACCAGCCACACAGGGATGCTTGGCCTTAAGGAGAGTCCAGATCTTTGGCCAAATTCACACTGCCCATGGAAAACCTCTTTGTCCACAGCTCTGCACCAGGAGTGAGGACACGGGTTTGGGCAGAGGGTGTATCTACAGCCACAGGCGGGCACAGGGGAGCTGCTCATTGTGCTGAGCCCTGCCCTGCCTCCCTGTCACTGCAGCCTGCCCAGGGCAACTCAGGCCGTGCCCCACCGTTCATGCCCTGGTAGCGGGGGAAACTGAGGCAGGGAGTGTAGTGGAAGAGATGTGCTGGGTTAAGCCCAAAGGGAGATAGCATGGAGCCAGCAACCCTGCCCAGCCCTGGGCACTGCCAGAGCAGCCTTCAGGGAGAGATGGAGATGGGGCTCAGGTACTGTGGTGATGCCAGACCCATTTCAGCATCCCCAGCAGCCAGGGGACTGTCCTAGGGACAACCCCCTCCAGGCCATGCAAGGCTGTGCCTCTGTGCCTTCCTGGCCACACCAGGTGGGACATGGGCTCTTGGCTGGGGTAGGGGAGGTATGCACCCCCAGGAATTAAGTGAAGGGAAAGGTTTGGAGCAGCCCATGGGAGGGAGGAGTGGGGCTGTGACTGCTCCATCATTGACTGCTGAGTCAGGGTCTCCTTCCTGAGCAAGTGAGGCCAGATCCTGGCTGGCAGAGAAGGGAAATAGCCCTGTGGTGCCCAGAGGCTGGGCCCTTGAGCTTGGCTCTCCATCCCTAATGATGTCCCTCCCATCCATGCCATGACATCTTGTTAATGAGCCCTCTAGCTCCTACTGGAAAAGTACTGGGAACATTGTCCTGCTGCAGCCATAACCCTTCTCTGCCCTGGCTCCTGCAGCCTGCCCCCCTGTACCCACTCCTTGCTGGCACCCAGAATGTGAGGATGCACCAGACATGGGGACCCAAACTTTGGACCACTGACAACTCCAGATTCTCCAGCAGAGCCAGGGTGTACCCAGCTTATGTGGTCCCATCCAGCCCCACAGTTATTCCAGGGAATGGGTTGGAGACATTCATGTTAGGGAGACCCAAAGGTCCCCATGCTCCCTGCAGGGCAGCAGGGTAGGAGTGCAGGGATGGGGCCAGGCTGCACCCCAGGTGGGTATTTGGGATGCAGCTTTGCCCACCACAGCCAGTGGTGGTTGGATGGCAGGGCCAGGGCCTGCCATGGTGTAGGGCAGATTGGATAGCAGCAGTTTGCATCACTGGAGGAACTTACTGCTGGGTGTGAGAGGGTGGCAGAGCCTGGCACACCTGCACGCACATGTGCATGGATCTGTTCATGCCTGGCACACACACATAGGGGTGAACAGAGCGTGGGCTCATCCCCTGCAGCAACACGTGGGCAGCATCTGCAACCCCTTCCCTGGCTCCAGCGGTGGCTAATCAAAGCAGTGTCTAAGGTAAGGGTGTTGGACACAAGGACCTCAACAAGCCCACCTTGTCCCTATTGCCCTGCACATTGTCCCACTAGACCCCTCATTCTATGATCCATGCTTGCCTGGGGGCAGGAGAGGTAGGGCAGGATCCCTGCCCCAGCCTGTTATTTCAGCTCTAATGGGATCCCCTGCTGTTCCCCTTCATCAGGGCTGAATGAGGGGCTGGCTAATGAAAGGACTGTGATTAGCGGGGCAGGGGGCTGGCTCTGGGCACAGGGAGGCTTCTCTGGGCCAGGTAATGACAGGCTTTTGTCCCCTCTCCTCCTGCCCCCGACTGAGACAGGTGGATGAGGATGCCCCAGGCAAAGAGTGGGTACCAAAGGGCCAAACTCAGCAAGTCCCGGCCATTCCCACCCACCTGCAGTGTCACACTAAGGGAATGTCTTGGCTAGGGGAGCCTGGCTGGGAACACAGGAGTCTTATCTCAGGCGCAGGAGTCCTGTCTTGGGACCCAGGAATCCTGTCTCAAGCTCGGCTGCCCAGCCCCATAATGTCGGCTGTGGGGGAAATCCTAGCATTGTCATCCAGGCCTGGGGCTCCTGGTTCCAGCTGGGAAACCCATCCAGCCATGAGGTCCTGCTTTGGGATACCATGTTTCTAGTGCCCAGGATGCACTCAGGATGGGATGGATACCTGCGCAGTGTACAAAGACACATGGGGATGGTTGCCCCTCACACTGCTCCCCTATGCAGGGGCCAGCATGGGGACACACAACAGCTAACACCACTGGTGACACATAGTGGAACCTATGGCTGCTGGGACCCAGGGACAGGGTTGAGCATGGGCTGAGCTGGATGCCGCTCCTGGGAGTGACCAGGGCAGAGCAGGGAGAGAAGTGGGACCAGCTCCCACACTGCTGTGGATGCTGAGGGTACTTGCAGGCCTTTGAGATGGAGATGTGGGTCCCCACTTTAGCCAAGCTTACATGGCTAGTGCTTGAACACATTTCAACCCTGTGGGAATTACCTGCACTCTGTGAGGCTGCAAGGACACAGGGAGCCCAGGCTGGACCCAGTAGCAGGACCCTCGCGCACCCAGCACACCAGGCAGGCTCCGTGCTGCCTGGCAATCAGGTGGATGAAGAGGCAGATGGATCATGTGCGATGGGCTGGGAATAATTCACTGCTCCTGAGGAAATAAATCTTCCACCTGGAAAGGAATCTGCTCCCCTCCACCCTCAGCCCAGGAGGCTGCAAGGGCAGGGAGGAGTGTGCAGGTGGGCTGCTGCACCATGAACAGGGCAGGCAGCACCCCTCACCAGGCCAGAGCACCCACAGCGCCACCATACCTGTCCAGGACTCCCCTGCCCCATGGGTGTGAGTCCAGACACACCAGTGGGATGCTGTGGAGGAAGCTGGGGTCACTGCCAGCTGCTCACCCACACTGCAGCTGCATCAAGGCCAACATGGTCCCTATGCTGGGGGCACATGCTGGGGTGAGCTGGAGGGAGCTTCCTGATCCTGATGACCACCAATAGCCCAGCAGCTCCCATCCCCATGTATAGATAGGAGGGTGATCCTGCAGGGTGCAGAGAGATGCCCCAGCAAGGTGCAGTGCCGGCACAGCTGTGGGAAAAGGCTGTGCCAAGCAGTGCCAAGAGGGCTGTGAGCCAGAGCGGCTGGAGGGCTCATGGGGAGG